GGAGCTGGAAGGACAGTGGAGAAGTAGGAAGAAACCAGAGTGTAACCTGAGCTGGTCTTATCCTGCGCTTCTGCCAACTCATTTTGCTGATGCTTCCAGGCCTGCGGTGTCCCCTGAGTGGCTGATGACAGGACTACCTTTCCTCAGGACACAGGGCAGTGAGTGGAGCCAGGCCGTGGAGGCTTCCCTCTGAGCCCCAGAAGGCTTAGAGCAGACTCTGCCGAGCCTGAGGGGCTCTAGGCACAGAAGCAGAGGAGAGTGTAGGGCGACCTGAAGACCGAGACCCTTGGTGGTGACAAGAGTGGAGGAGAACAGCTATCCAGACACTCTCTGGGCCAGGGCTGGCTTCCTGAGCGCCAAGTGTCCTGTCTCCTGGACTCTCGGACCCAAAGAACGACCGTCGCGCCCACTCAGAGGCCCAGCCACGCTCTCGGGACACTGTCCCCCAGAACCCATGCACCCACCTCCACCCTTCCCTTCTCACCCCTACACTCCTGCCCCCGCCTCCTGCTCTACAGCTCAACAGGCTGGAGGAGCTTGGCTTTGGGGTGGTGCAGACTGAGCTTGTGGCCTTTGCGGAGCCTTAGAGTCTCCATTTTCTCGACTGTAGGAGAGAAATAATAATGGCTGTCTTTGCAAAGTGTGGTGGAAATTAGAGCAAATACAGCGTAACAGTGAACCTTGACCATTACATCCTTGTACCTGGTAGCAAAGGTTGGGATTCTAGGTCCCTGTTCCAACTTCGGGGTCCCTGTGTGAGCTTAGGTGATCACTTCACGACTCTGGGCCTTGGTTTCTTTATCTGTAAAATGGGTAGAAGCAATTTGAACAGCAGCAGTGAGCACTGGGGGAGACCGTGATGAGAGATGTGGGGAGGCTCAGGAGTCCTGTTACTGTGCCCAAGCCCCCGGGGAGAGATGCTTTTCCAGAGCGTAGTTCCCAGAACCCCCAACGCCCAGAGACTGGGCTCCTGGGCAACGACAGGGTAGGACCATCCTGGCCACTGGACATCACTGCCTTGCTCTTCAAGTGGCGACGGTGAGGCCAACACATGTCCCCACCAAGTGGCATCTCTGGGACACAAAGCGCAATGAAGGTGCAGGGCACACTGGCTCCTTGTCCCTGGGGCTGAGTGGCAGCAGCTGCAGGTCACTGGGGCTTCTCTTGACCCCCACCCCTCCCAGCACCATGGTGATCCAGACCATCCCTCGCGGACTCAGGGCAGCCCCTTCAGTAGCACCTGAACAGCACGGAACCCCCTACCCCACAGCACCTTCCACCAGGACCCTTGGGAATAATCGAACTGAAGGAAGGGAGGCACTGTGGACCTGTGGGCAGGGTGCTTGGGGCCTCAGGTGCCCAGGCACACCCATTCTTAGTGCCTCAGAGCGCATTCCCCCCAGGAAAGACTGATCCGCGTCCTATATCATTATCGACAGCCCCCCAAGGAGGTTCTGCTGGGGGGAGGGGGTCTCTGGGGCTCAGAGAGCCAATTAAATGACCGGCCTAGGATTTGAACCCTGGCCTGACCAATGCCACAATCTCACCTTTTCAGGGGGCCTGAGGGGGGAGACAGGCCGTTGCGCAGACACCGGAAAGGAGGGCGTGGCCACATTCTGCCCAGAGAAGCACTGGCCGTGGTTGACCCAATGCCAGGGTGCTGGGCACACTGACCTCTGCCAGCTCCTGGCAGCCAGAGGATTCTAGGGCTCCCCCTCACCCTCTGCAGAAGTCCAGGGCAACTTGTTTATCAAGGGAGAGGGGCAGGGTGATGATTCAGGGAAGCTGCAGCTGGAGTTAGATGAGAGCCTCATAATGATGGTGATTAAAAATTAACACCACTGTTTGTACAGCGATTTACGCGTCCACTTTGCAGCCATGAATTAATTAATCAATGAAAACAGTGCTGGGGAGAAGCATCAGGGCACAGAAGAGCAGACTGTGAGGTTCCAGGAGGACATCGCCAGGACAGGGGGTGCTGGTCCACCTGGGAGCCATGAGGGGCAATATCAACGGGGGAGGGGGACCGAGGGGCACTGAGTGAGACAGAGGGCCTGCGAGGTGGGAGACCCAGGTCAGACCCCCGGTCGACACTGATTAGCTCTGGGACCCTGGCGGTCACCCAACGTCTCGGTTTTTCGATTTGCTCGTCTGTCAAAGGGATGAGTGAGGTCTTCTGAGGCTGAATTTCTAAGTGGAACGATGTGTTAGTGTCCTAAGGCTGTCGTAACAAATCACTGCAAAGGTGGGGGCCTAAAACAACAGAAATGGTTTTTCTCACAGTGCTTGGAGGCCAGAAGTCCAAGATCAGGGCCTCGGCCGGGCTGGCTCCTTCTGGCACTTCTGGGCACGGGGTGGGGGCTGGCTTTCCTCTGTGTTCCAAGGCCACCGGCAGACCCCAGTCTCCTCCTCTATCCTCACATGGTCTTCTTCTCCAGGTTTCTTGTGACTGTGTGTCTCGAATCTCCCTCTTTTTCCTTGTAAGAACACCAGTTCTTTTGTTTAGGACTCACCCTAATTCCAGGATGATCTCACCTTGAGATCCTTAATGATATCTACAAAGACCCATTGCCAAATAAGGTCACATTCACGGGTACCAGGGGTCAGGGCGGACTATATTTGGGGGCGTGGTGCCATTCAACCCACTATAGAAGGTGTTTTGGAGGAACAAAAACCATGAATGCCAGGTGCCATCGTACCTATGATGAAGATGTGGGAGAAGGGCAGCCATCTCTGCGACATCTTCCCCACACTTCCTGCCTGCCAGGCACCCAGGGGTGGCATGGGAGTCGGGGTGGAGGGCCGGCCCTTGACCAGAAGTGGAGAGGATGTTGGGATGGATGGACGGAGGAGTCTCTGTGGGAGCTCCCTTCTTCCTCAGCCCTCAGGACGAACTCTCAGGCCTCCAGCAGGACCTCCAGCTCTATCTCCAGGCTCCGTGATTCGTTACCACCCCCCCGGGCAGCCTGCTGTCCCTGAATTTCCCCAAGACTTCCCCAGCGGGCTGTGTGTTGCTCTCCTAGCTTTGATCAGGCTTTCCATTGCCTTTCTTCATGATTTAAAAACAACAACAACAACAACAAAATCCAAACAAACTAAAACAAAAAACATCACCAAGTTCTAAAAGACACTCCAGGTTCAGGCCCTACTTACTTTCCAAACTTGTCACCCACCACTCCCTTTCCCTAAACCCGTTCTTCCACCAAGCCAAAGCCTTGACGATCCCCTCAGCCTGACGTGTTGCCCCATGGCCCAGTGCCTTGTGCAGGTGGCCCGCCTTCTAGAACATCTCCGCCATCATAGATAGCCAGGCTCTCCCCTGAGAGCCCTCCCTGCCACCACTCTCTGCCCCTGCTTGGGGGCTCCCCCCTTGCCATTATTGCGCTGTCACCAAAGACCCCCTTGTATAATTGTGCTGTTGAACGTGTCCCCACTTGACTGGGCTGTTCCTGAGGGGCAGTGACACAGTGACTTTGTTTCGAGGTCCCTGGACCCCAGGGTAGAGATGCTCCTCAGATGTTCATAGAAGGAAACTGTCAAGAGATGTGGATTTGAATTCCTCTGTAACCACCTTCCCAACCACATGCCCTTGGCTTTGCTGGGCTATGTCTTCCTTATCTGCCCGCCTGTCTTGCCAAGTTGGTGTGGGCCATCAGCGAGCCTGTGTTGACAGAGGAATGTGTTCTTGGACTAATCAGTGCACACAAATAGGGCCAAGGGAAGCAAGGGCGTCTGTCTACCCCAGGGAGCCCCCCCAACTCCCACACACCCCAACGGCCCCAGCTCGGCCCTCCGTCTTCCTGGGAATGTGGTTGGAGGGAGGCCCAAGCTTCTGGAAACTCTTGGATCCCCTCCCAGCCTGTCCCGGCTTTGCCTCAGCTCCAGGTGTCTACCTCTCCAGCTATTTTATTTTCTGATCCAGAGTTCAAAAGAACAACAAACTTAGAAGCCACAGCCCCGGGGAGACACAAGCCAGCAGGCTCATTCTTGTTGGCCCTGCTGCGGACCTGCAGGGCGAGGCCCCCCTCTCCCTGCTGGACCAGGAGGGAGGGCATTTGGGTTCTGTGGGCATCGGCTCCAGTGCGACTGGAAAACAGCAGCTCCAGTTGGAGGGAAGGCCAATTAGGGGGCCAGGGCTGGGGGAGGGGAGGCCTGCCCTAGTTAGAGCCCTACAAAGCGCCTTTGAAAGCATTTTCAGATGTCCCCAGGCCCGGGGGAAGGGGTGGCGTAATAATAATAAAACAACATTTGCATAGAGATTTCGTTTACAAAGCACTTTCTCAGGGGCGGGGAGGCGCTGGGGTGGCCCTGTGGAATCCTGGCCGGGAGGCCGCAGCCTCGGCTTGGTTCCACCCCCAGCCCAGCGCGCGGTTGTGTGAGGGGCAAACAAAGCGCCATTCATCCAACTATTTCCGATTCCTCCGAGTTTCAGTCTCTCTTCTCTCTCTCCCATGAAGAGCTCACTCGGGGCTTGTCACTCAGGCCAGAAAAGGGGTGTCAGGAGTCCCAGAGGGGAGGGTTGGCTGGGGCCCGCTTGGAGGGAAGAGGGAAGGGGGAAGGGGGGCTCCCCATCCTTCTGCACCCCCGCCCCGCCCCCACACCCTCTGGCTCCGAAGCGCCTGCGAATCCGAACAGCCTGGCTGTGGTTGGTTTGTGCAACTTCTCTTGCTAACCTGGGCTGTGTCTTCATGTTGAAAGTATGAGTGCAGGTTTGGTAATGTCTGTGCATATGCCGTGTGTGGGTTTGGGAACAAGCAGAGATAAGCACCATGTGGGTCTCTGCTAATCCCTCCCAAGCAGCAATGCCCTGCGACAGGACAGACTGACACAGCGTGGGGGTGTGGGACCCTGGGGTGTGTGCATCTGCATCAGGTGGGAGAGGGCAGACAGCTGGGCCTCGAGTATGGCCTGGCAGTCACCTGGGCCCTGGCATGAGACCCGGACCCCTTAAGGGCCTCGGTGAGCTATATAGGGTCCACCTGCAGGGGCCCGAGCAGCTTTTAGCAGCCCCAGCAGGAGAAGGAAGATGGAAGAGGTCATTGCGGGGCTGGAGCAGTTCACTTTCACCTTAGAGAAGGATGTAGAGATGCAAAAGGGCATTGGACTCCTGCCTTTCCAGGGCATGGACAGTGAGTGAGGACGGGTACCAGCCATCCCTCTCGGGGACCCTGCGCCACCCTGCCCTCCCTTTCCCCCTCCCCCAGCCTGCTCTGCAGGCCTCTCTGCTCAGCTTCTTCCTGAAAGGGTGCTGCCCCTCCTCTCTGCTGCGCACCAGGGGGACTGAGCTGGAGGCTTGGGCCCACAGCCTGGGATTCCCAGCCTAGCCACCTTCTTTTCAGGGGCTCGGCCCTCTGCTCCTACATCCTGTGCAGGATTCCAGGGAAGGCTCCCAGGCTGGCCTTGGCCCCGCTGTGGCGTCTGGTGCAGAGTTAGGGAGCTTCGGTGTTGAGGTTTGGAGGCTGGTTCCAGAGACCAGCATCCAAAGGCAGGACTTGGAGGTCCCCAAGCCCCGGCATGGGGAGGTTCTAGGGGACTTGCTGGTAATTTAGAGCCCTCTGGGGAAGCTGCCCCCCTCTTGCTCTCTCCCCTTCCAGAGTCGGGCTCAGCTGTGTGCAACTTCTTCGCTAAAGGGCTCTGTGAGAAAGGTGGGTCGGCAGGCGGGCCAGGGCGGGGGTGGCAGCAGGGGCTGTGTCTAACCAACACTGGCCTCAGCTTAGCCTGGAGAGGGTGTTGAATTTGCACCTGGGGAGGGGAAGCAGGGATAGGATAGGGTTTAATCTTATAAGTAGGCAATGGGCAAGTGGGTAGGTCCACCAAGAAGCCTGCCCCCCAAGGATTTCCCTGACTCAGCGGCATTGAGTAGGGTGGCCAGAGCAGCCTGGAGGGGGGCACTCCTTCTTCCCGCCTTGCTGGGGGTGGCAGTGTCTGTGGGTTTCAGCCTGGGTGCTCTGGGAAGAGCTCTGACCTCTCCATTTTCCTCCCAGCTGGGAGAGTGGCGTCCTGCCCCCCATCTTGTCCTCCGAGTCAGTAGGGGGCACGCTCAGCTGTTCCATCCATCCTCTATGCCCCGAGGTAGCTCTGGCCACAATCTCTGAAATGCTACCAACAGCACCTCTAGTTCTCTGTGGCCCCGATTTCGACCAAGTAGTACCCTCTTCCAAGCCCCTCTCCCCTAAAAGTCTGACTCAGTACAGGGGTTCTCAGCTTTTCTTTTGCCTCATGAACCCCACTCACAAGAAATACACAGTTGCCCCAAAAGCCTTGCTTCCAAGGTGAGGGTTCCCTGTCCCCCTGCAGGCCCAGGTTACGTACGCTTGCTAGTGTGAATGAGTTTAGGGCCAGCTTTTGGGTTTCAGGTGTGTTTGCTCTTGGGAAGTTGGGAGGAAAAAGGGGTCCAGGCAGTGGGGACCTGGAGCCATTTTTGCCATGTGCCTCTCTTGTCTTTGGGCCATCCCTGGACGATGGGGCGAGAAGGGAAGTGAGCTCGGCTTTGGGTCCTGTGTCCTCAGCTTGGCCCACCCAGTCTCTACAGTGGTGTTTCACAGTGACATCCTCTTGCAAAGAAATAAAACTGCTTTTGAGGATGGTCAGATCCAAGCAAGTCAATGGCCAGGGATGGAGGGCAAGGTAATTTTAAAAGAAACTTGCTGGCCTCTCTCTATCAGATGCTTGAGATCAGTCCCGCTTAGAAACTTGGGAACTGAGCTGTCCTTCCTGCTGATGGTGACAACATCTTGGGGGAGGATGATAAAGAGTTAAATATCACATTCCCGTTTCCTTCTAAATCCTTCCAGAGTTGGCTCTTCCGTCATCATCACGTTAGGTCTCTGGAATCAGGAAGCATAACATTTAAAAAAAATTATTTATTTTTAGACAGAGGGGAAGGGAGGGAGAAATAGGGAGAGAAACATCAATGTGTGGTTGCCACTTGCACGCCCCCTGGGTTGGGAACCGGGCCCGCAACCCAGGCGTGTGTCCCGACTGGGAATCAAACCAGTGACCCTTTGGTTCACAGGCCGGCACTCAGTCCACTGAGCCACACCAGCCAGGGCTAACTTTTTTTTTCCTAAATTTTTTTTAAAGCATGAATTCAACAGGCCATTAATAAGCACTTACTACGTGGTAGGGACAGTGCTGGTGGGGGGGCTGGGGGTGTCCTGGGCTGGGAATCATGGCTCTGCTCTCTGGGAGGACCTCAACTGTGAGCCTGGAGACTAGGGGGCTGTAAGCGGCTAGAGGGGGTGTCTGGACAGCTGGGGGCTTCTGGGGGTTGACGGGGGCACCAGGCCAGGCAGAGAGAAAAGTTGGGGGAAAGGTGGTCATGGGAACAACTGTCTGTTCAGAAAATAGCAGCAGGTCCTCCGTGTTGCCTCTGGCCCCCCAGTTCTAGTTGCCATGAGGGTCCAGGTGAGGGGGCAAAAGGAGGGCAGCTGGGTCTGAGCCCAGGGGTGAGAGGGCCCAGGTTGTGGGTGGGGGGCTCCCAGCTGGGCACTCTGGTCCCCAGGGAAGCTGTGCCCGTTGCGGCATGACCGTGGGGTGAAGATGGTGGTGTGTAAGCACTGGCTCCGGGGGTTGTGCAAGAAGGGCGACCAGTGCAAGTTTCTGCACCAGTACGATGTCACCAGGATGCCCGAGTGTTACTTCTACTCCAAGTTCGGTAATGCCCCTTCCTGGCTCCGGTCCTTTCCCCTGGAGGGTGGCAGCGGGGGCTGTGGGACGGGACACATGGAGGGACACCCCAAGGAGGCCTTCCACGTCTCAGGTGGCAGTGCAGGCCTGCCTGAGACACCTGCCTCTCCAACGCCGTAGAGAAAGTGGAACTGAACTCTGGTCCCTGTTTATTTGCGCCCATCGGGCTCAGGCACACGCTGCTTACTGCAAGGGAAGGAGAGGGTGCAGTTGGAATCAAAGGCTGAATTGTTTCCTTCTGCATCCTGGCTTAGTCACCCACCCAGACTGACTGTCCGGAAATAGCCTCAAATGGGCCATCTCTCTACCGGGGGTTTGGGAGGGGGGATCCAGGCTGGCAGTTCCCAAACAGCAGGCATGTGGGGGCCCCTTTGCAATGATGCTTGTGATTCCCACAGAGCACCTGTCCCATTGACCTGCACCATCGTCTAATCTTTCCATTGTCTTGTTATTTTAAACTCTTATTTTAGAAGAAACTTTTATATTGCTTCTGTAACTGGAAAACAAGCCTCACTTATGGGCCATAAAAGGTAACTGTAAACAAACAAGCATGAGGTTCATAAGTATAGCCCCTAAAATTATCTTGCGTGGTCAGGTCTGGGCCAGCGTCTCACCTCCCCCTGGCCTCAAGTCCTTCTCTTGTAATCTAAAGGGCTCCGTACGGAGGCGGGAGCCACAGCCACTTCCTGCCTCATTTAAGCATGAAATCTGTGAATGTGTTTCCATATCATCCTTCTCCATAGAATTCTACAGCTCAGTGCTTTTCAGAAATGGAAGGAGACAAGGATTATCTAGTCCAGTGGTTTTCAAATCATGTTACAAAAAGAGTGACCTGGAGCGGGGAGAGAGCTGGGACAGTCTCCAGGGACCCCTCTGATGGAGGTGGCTTGGCTTTGAAACTGAGCCAGCACTGGGGTAGGCGTTTCTCATTAGTGGGGAGGTGGGGGTCACAGATATGCGGGAATAACACAAAGCACCCCCTAGGTCAGCAAGAGCTCCTCCCAGGCCAAAATCTGTTTCCTGCCTGTCCCTCAGAGTTGAGAGCTGTGGCAATCTGTGAGGGCTGCCCACACGTGTTCCTTGAAGGACAGGACAAAGTTTACTGAAGCCTAGCTCCCCTTAGTCGCCACCTAAAACTCTTTCATTTTGAAATACCACTTACTTACTCCTTCAATAACTGTGGGTTGGTTTTCTTTTTGGGATTGGGCTCTGTGCATGTATCCAAGACACGGATACAGAAATAGGACCAGGTCTCCTTCTGCCCTCAAATAACTCCCATTGTGAAGGGCAGACATGTAAATTGATGATTACAATACACAACAAGTGTTTTTGCTCTTAGAGTGAATGAACGAATCTCTCTTTCAAATCTCATACCAAAGAAATTATCATTCTTATGGGAAGTAAATTGCTTTATTTTAAAAAACATTGCTGGGGAATTGTAGGAGTGGGAAGGGCAGTTGAAAGGAGTGAGGAAGCTTGTGGTCTTTGGCCCTGCCCCTGGCGGTTACCCATCAAAAAATACCCAGGTGGGGATGGGGCGGTGGCAGCTGGGAATCTCTGGAGGGTGAGTTGCGGGCGCCACCTGCTGGCTGTCAGAGGAATGTGGAGACGTGCATCCATGGCAGAAAGGCAACACCTATCAACTGTTCCCCAGCCCCCGGGGTCAGGGTGGGAAGTGTCACTTCCATTCTTTAGAAGGCTCAAGCCCAGAGTCAGCTGCACACTGGAGATGAGCAAGTGGATGATGCCTTATCAGTGTGAGGAGGAAGCCCCATGAAAATGGATATGACAGCTCCCCTGCCTGGTCACTGGCAGCTTCATCTGTGAAATGAGCGGGCTGGGAAAGAACAGTGGTGCCCGTCTTCAGGGGAACCCTTGCCATGTGGAAGCCCAATGCACAAAACTGACCTCTTTGGAGCAGTTTGAAAACCAATGGCCTAGACACAATGGAGCTCCTTTCAGCTCTGAAAGACATAAAGTTGTAGACTTTCAAGGAGGATGACATTGGAAACACCAATCCCATAATTGAATGAGGTAGGAAATGGGCTGAGTCTTCCCCCAAAGTGCCTTCAGAGCCCCTGGGCCCCTGAGAGACATCTAAGAGGGTTTCCGCAGTAACTTGAGAGCAGTCCATGAAAACAGTATTCCTTCCAGGGGCTGTGGGTCTTGGTCTCGTCCATAGACACGTTAGAGCAACCACAGGTGTTCTCTGCAGCATCTGCCTTCATCCTGTGCCACCTCAGAGCAGTGGTCTGCTCTGCTGGGCAATTTCACCTAAAAGGGCTGCACCCCTAGGCTCCGGAGGCCGGGTCAGTTTCATTGTAGAGAGGAAGAATGGGTTTGAGTCACAGCTCATGGCAACATCTCCATTCAGTGTCTTGTGTCCTCTTGGGCCTTTAGTTGCCAGCTCTGGGTTCCCGCTTCCCCATCTCTCCTGGTTCCTTCTTCCCTGATGGTGTTTAAATGCTTTCAGTTCCAGTCCCCACCTCCTGGACATCTGGCCTTGCCCCAACTCCCCCAAATATGCGTATTCACCCCAAGTCATGCTTAGGGAACATTATTGGGGTCCACCCTTCTTAGATTGCAGGAAAGATTAGAAATACCTTTACTGGCTTTAAAAGATGCTGATGACCACAGGAAGGCAAGGGGCTTCTATTCGAGGAGTGGGGGTCAAGTCAGTGTGGGAGGGCAGATGTGACCGCAAAGATGAGCTTACTTATATCCAAAGGACTCTGGAATTTTCAGGTGAGTGCAGCAACAAGGAATGTCACTTTCTTCACACGAAGACAGCTTTCAAGACCCAGGACTGTCCTTGGTATGACCAAGGTTTCTGCAAAGAGGGTGAGGCCCTGACAGAATGGGAGCACTGGGGGTGTGGGTGACCGGCACAGGCGGTCTCGCTGCAGGGAGGATGCATATTGCTGATGAGGCCCCGCTGGCGTGAGGTCTGCCCCTGGGTTGGAATCCTAGCTGAAGTCCTTTCCATAGTTCTCACGCTCGCTCATGTGGGAGAACCCTCTGTGACACTATGATGCGTACCCTGGCTTACTCAGGTTCAATGGTTTCAGGATATATCGGCTGCTTGACCTTGAACAAATGACTGAGCTGCTCGTTTCCTCACCTATGAAAAGGAAGGACAACTCCATCCTAGGGTTGCTGGACCACTTAGATGTGGGACCCCACGGGGAGCCCTTGGCATAGGGTCCAGTCCATAGAGGACACTCAGTTCACCCACCTGAGGTGTCCTGAGTATCACTTAAGTATGTGCCACCTACCCCATTATTGTCAGCCAGACTGAGGAGACAGGGACCACCACATCAGAGTCCCTGCTCTGAGCACCTGGGCCCTTTCTCTTCCTGTGCCTTGGAGTATGTTGTTCTTACTGAGCGCTTGGCAGGATTGCTTTTGAGGGGCGGTCGCAGGGGAGGGGTGCTGAAGGAGGATTAGTACAATGTGGGGTTAGCCTCACCTCAGCTGTTCCTTCTGCGGCTAAACACAAGATGACACGTTACGGTCCTCATCTACCTCAGTCCTTCAAGACACAGCGTGTTAGGGACAGTTCCCACCCTACACAATCCAAGGTTCCCTTTCCCGTCTCAGCCATGTGGCTAGGAAGCAGGTGCTTCTGGGTAGTATGGAAAGGATGGGAAGATATATACCCCTGTGGAGTGGACAGCCTATGACCATCCACATCCTTCCCAGTGAGATTTGTCATGTGTTTTCTTCTCTTTGCTAAAGGAGATTCTTTTGGCTGGTTCTCTTTGCCTGGCAGGTCCCCTGTGTAAATACCGCCATGTCCACAAGACAATGTGTATTAACTATTTAGCTGGCTTCTGCCCTGAGGGACCCAAGTGCCAATACGCACAGTAAGTATGATCCCACCGAGTGCTGGGTCCCCTCTCTGGTTTACAGATCTAGATCCTTCTGTAGCTTCATTGGCCCAAGGTAGGAAATGAAGTGTCTGGCACTCACCCGCTGAATGTTTTCCTTGCGTTGCTCCCTGCCACCCACCCCTCTGCCATGCTGTCATCTGCACTAAACTCTGACCCATGCTGGTGATGTATGTTCATGCTGGGGATGGGCAGGTAAGCTCTTCACGAGCTGTTCTAGAAATAAGAGTAGAAATGTTTAACACCCAAATCCTCTGCAGCTCTGCCTCACCCCCTGGATAGAGTTCAGGCTCCTTCCTGGGATTCTGGAACATGAGATCTGCTGTCGCTGGTGCAGAGCCTGTGAGAAAGTGGGCGATGGGTGGGTTAGAGGGCCTGGCTGTAATTATCCCTCTCTACTTCCTCAGTCCCAAGATGAATCTTTTATTCAACCCAAGTTACGTGAAGGTGAGTGCAGGCAGGGAGGGGCCAACGTGTCTCACGCCAGTCACTGCATGGGTTCCCTGGGGAACTCGAAGTCCCTAGCACAGCCCCGCCCCCAACTACCCTCACTCTCACATGATTGGCGCTGTGTCTCAATCCTGGGGAAGGCACATCTGTGTGGTTGTTCCTCTCAGACCCCCTCCAACCTCCATAGTCTCTGCTTCAGATAGGACTTCTCAGCTCTCTGCCCCCAAGTCTTTCCCTTTTCCTTAGCTGGATAACACATGGGCGGTTTTGTTAAAGCACGCGGGCCCAGCTCGGGACTTGTGGTCCAAAGTTGTTATGGTCAACCAGGGTGGCCCTGGGGGAACAGAACTCTTCCTAGGGATACCAGGACTGATGACAGCCTCTGGCAGGTCAGCAAACTGCAGTCTGTCGCCCAAATCTGCCCTCCACCCTGTTTTTGTACAGCCTGGGCCCTACAAATGACTGCAGTTGAGTTCTTGTTAATTAGCCATCCTAGCTTGCCCAGTCGATTACAAGAGGGCCCCCGGGCCGGCGGGGATGGCGATGCACGGGAGGAGGGCGACCCCTGCCGGTGCCAAGTGGTATCTCCGCTGAAGGTGGGACGCCATCTTCAATGACTGGGGAGTTCCTAAGCCCATTGCTGACTTTTATCAAAAGGTATGCTTTTGGCAGTTAGAACAGTAAACAAAGGCACTTCGAAATCTGGCCCTGCCCGAACGCCTGGCCAGAGCCCCTGCCCGAGGTATGGAGTCGCCATGTCTGCACCGAAGGAATGCCTGCAGTGCCTCTGTTTCCTCACGCGGTCCCTGTCTCTGCAGCTCCACGGGCCACGGGGGTCAGCACCTCCTGCTTCTGTCTGGGGACCTTGCAAGCCCCCTTTGCCGGCCGAGTGGCTGCTTCTCCCTGCTCCGATGAGGCCCCAGGAGCAGCTGGTCCCCTACTGCCTGGGGCTCAGGGCGCAGGAGCAGGGCCTGTGCTACAGGGTGAGTAGGAGCTGAGGGGTTCACGCTGTTTCCTGTGGAGGGCAGGCGGCGGGGAAGGTGGTGAGGGGGGACCAGCTGCAGAACGTGTGGCTCCTTTCTGGCTGTCCACAGATGGGACACGCGTACTTGGGTTTAGGAGTGTGATCTACGGGAGTGAGGGGTACTGGTAAACTAAGTGTTGACTGGGAAATTTCAACAATCCCATCTTATTTTTATCTCCTGCCAGACAAGACTTCATTTCTTTAAAAGGCTGGAAAGTTAAATGTCCTTCACGTCCTATTTTGCTCCCTACTAATTCTCTGCAGTTATTTATACATAATGTCCTTAAGATTCGGGGGTGGGGGAGATTGGGAGGGAGAGCATGTAACACGCTGGTTTTCTTTTGTCTGTCTTCCAGTCTATTAGGCCACTTTTGATCACACCTTAGTTACATAGCCTCTAAACTGTCCTGAGTCCTGACTTCCCTCTCCTTCCAGAAAGAGCCCTATCAGATGAGAGGTAAGGGCAGACCCCTGCCTTCCTCGTAGTTATTGGCCTTGGAACGTCCAGAGCTGTTCTCTGGGATAGGGAGGCTTGGCTTGAATCTCAAGGCCTCTTTCAGGCCTGAGATGGTGCTTCGCTTGAGAGAAGCCACCAAATTCCTCAGAAAACCAGCTACTTTCTTCTCTGGTTCCCTAGACAATTTAGGATTTTTCTTTTAGAGTTTGAATTTACGAAAACTCACCCCTTTAACTTTCTTTCAGTGTTGAAAACGGGCCAATACGCTGTTCACTGCAGTAATACTGAATGGGTAAGAGCGATCAAAACAAAGCCCCTGGTGTGTCTGGAGGATTGGAGGACCTGCCTGTGAGGACCCCCATGGCCATCCTGTGGCTTCTCTGTTCCCAGTGTCCCTGTGCACCCACTGTCGGCCTGAACAGGCTGAGCAGAGAAACCTGCTGCATTTAGGTTTATTTCCTCTTATTCTGTAAGTGAACGAGCTACTAAAAATACAACAGGCTTGGAGGCAGATTGTGGCAGGACGAGTTAAACGGGAGCAAAATGTGTGTAAGAGAAAAAGCTCGAGTTTATAGAAATAGTCCTTCTGCTCTGCTCAGCTCCTGTGCGCTCACAGAGAAGTCGGGGCTGCACGTGGCAGTTCCTGTGCACATGGCCTCACTGGCCACTACAAACTGACAATTAAATGAAGTGGTGTTCTTTAGCACAAGTGCTGCCTCACCGTATGGCTTACGTTTACAGCTGTAGTGTGTGCTTGCCAGGTGCAGGGAATTACAGGGAGATAGATGGTACAAAAAGGGATCATCCTGGGAGGCAGGACATGATCGGGGACCTTTAAGGCTGTACTGTCTATGCCACTGGAGCAGTGAACACCGAGGCATTTAGTCCCCAGGGAGAGGAGTGGGGGCACTACGCTGTGCCTTTTGGGGAAATGGAGGAAAGAGGTCCTCGGACAGGTGTGCGGTAAGCCTAGCCCCATCCTTTGGCAGGTGGAGACAGCTCCCTACCTGCCAGAACTGGAGGGTACGGGGTAAGGCCTGAAAGAATGCTGGCCCAGGGGGCGGTTTGGGGGTCTGAATGCCACACTACTTACCCTCCCCAAATCTCAGTTTCCTCATTCTGGAAAATGGGCGTAACAGCACTTGCCTCACGGGACGGGTGTAGGACAAGAGACAATGCACAGGAAGAACTCTGAGTAGCACTTGGCTTTGACAAAGCAAGCACCCGAGCAGTGGCTGGATTTTGTGAGGATTGTGGTGGTCTCTCTGGCTTGGTTCAAGATTAGAATCTGAGCATACTATGACGCCACCAGAGGTTTTAGAAGAGCTGTTATTTTCCTACTGTCAGACCTTGCTGGAACTAATAGGTGTGAGACTTCTAATCCCACCAAATCTCTGTAAATTAGGACTTCACAGTCCAGACCAAGGAGGCTCTAAGAAGGGAGGTAACTTGCCCAGGGACACAGGTGAGGGTCTGGAACAGGCAAATAATCAGAACAGAGGACTACTTATTTATTTAAAAAAAGATTTTTCATAGAGAATGGTGGTAGTACTCTGTAGGAGGAACATGGGGTGAGAGCAGGTATAGAGAGTTCATTGGGAAAATCTGTAAATCAGGATATAAAGACTAGTAATAGTGTCAGCAGATAGGGTTTCCTATTAACTGTTAGGCACCCCACTGATAGTATAACAAAATGCCTTTATTTTTAAGAGCTAAAATTTTAATGTGCATTAGAGAAAATGTACTTTACCCAGTAAACTATGTCCCCACTATTAAATTAAGATTGAGGATTAAACTCAAGTAGGCAGCACCAGGGATAACCCACCTCACACAGACCACGTGGGCTGGCGCCAGGGTTCAGGCACACCTGTGAATACCTGTGACTTTCAGTCACAGAACCTTCCTGTTTCCTTTAAGTCTTCCTCCGGCTGGCGAGGGGCCCAGGCATCGCGTCTGCAGGACGGATAGGAAGGGGGACAGGGATTGCCCAGGTGGACTCAGCCTGGATTTCTGTGCAGGGTGCTGGAAGACTTGGTTTGGACTTCACACTGCTGCTCTGGAAGACAAATCTAAGCACTGTCGCTCACCTAGGGAAGCTCTTAGCAGTTCCACAGATGTGGAGCATGATTTTAAGAGACAAAATTCAAGAGGCTGTTTAAAATGGCAAATCATGTAAAGAACATTCTTCTTCTCTTGACTTAGTGAAGAGGTAGTTGCTCCTGCCTCTGACCTGAAGCTCCCTGGCTTCGGCACGCAGCGGTCTCGCTCATCTACACCTCCAGACTCTGTAGTCTTTCTGGATGAAGCCTTTAATATGCCAGATCACATACATTATCACACAACTTATCTTGCAGGGGTATTTGCATGTAAGAACAATGAATGTATCCTCAGAAGGCAATTTTACACCAATACTGTGAACTAGAGCTATGAAGTATATTCCTTGATCATGAGTTTAGATCTAAATCAAGGAAAAAAGTGACCTCAACAACTGACTTCCAACAACTTTCTTCAACTATTTTGAACATTATGAAGAAATCCTTACAAGATTTGCTAAAAGGTCTTTAAGCACTTTCCCCACCTCAGACAGCAGCAATGAGTAGATAGGGCACCTGTTCCCTCTGATAACTTTGAACGTGACCAAGCACCTCCAGTCTGGAGATCCTGCAATGGCTTCTTCAAAGTCACTTCCATCATTTTAAGACTCTATGCTCGGCCTAATTCTAAGGAATCAGCTAAGATTTGCCCTTTCCTGATAGATTCTTGGTGCTGACCATGTCAAACTAAAAACCCTCTCATTCATGGAAGATCTGCCTTTTTCTGAAACTTGGCAAGAGGAAGCAGACAGCCCTTTAGGACTGATGGGTTATTAAGTGGTTCCTCCTTTTTAAGGAAATTGTTTCCAGGGATATGTAAAGTACTTCCTACGGCATGACTAATTCAAACCTTTCCATTATGTTTTCACATTCTGATGATAAGTGACCCCAGTTTATTTATTTACAATAGTAATACACACGTTTTTGATAAAAAATCTTGGGGGGGTTTCCGGCTACCCCTCAGTGCCACCACCTTGTGTGTTGTGGGTAGTTCAGGGGACACCACCAGGGCACTAAGTTACCAAGTCAAGAAAGACTTCTGCTTTAATGTTTCCTAAGCCAAAACTGATTTAGAGCAGTGACCTTGTCTTCATCACTCTGACACGGAGGCCGTGAGGTGTCCTGTTCCTCCAGGGCAGGGTCGGCACATTTTTCTGTCACGGGTCAGACAGTTAAGCACTTCCAGGTTTGTGAGCCATAGGGTTCCTGTTGTGACCACCGCCAGTGCAGGGAGAACAGCTCCCTAACCACACGGGCAGGGCTGTGCTCCAGACAGGCTTGATGGAAACAGGCAGTGGCTGTGGTCGTCCAAGGAGCTGAGAGAGGGCACTGCCGACAGGTTACCCTGAGAGTTTCTGACCCAGAGGAAGGACCGTGGGGGAGGTCTAGGGAGATTCCAAGTGTCTGTTACAGGCATTTACAAAGAATGGGCGCAAAGCCCTCTTAAATGAAGAGGACTTGCTTTGGAGTTCCAATTACATTCTTAGTAATATTAAACTAAACTAAGTCAATGTATTCTTTCCCTCACCCGTGAATTTTTCCTTATGGAGAATTCTGGCATACTTTTCTTTAAACAGAAGTTGATGCAGCATTAAATTATCCCCACTGGGGATAATTCAAAAGGAACAGAAGAACAGAGGATTGGGAATAGAAAAGGCAGATGAAGCAGCAGATAGAGCCAGAATTCCAAGTTCTGAGAAGAGATGTGCAAATAAGTAAATGTTGGCCTTAGAATAGCATACCTGCTTTTTTGTGATTTGAAGGAGGCAGGACAAAGGAGGGACTGTTTCATGTATTCTGGCTTGAGGATAACACAAGCAAAAAGATATACACACACACACACATACAGGGGTGGACAAAAGTAGGTTAGTAGTAAGTACAATAATTAATAAATAATAATACAAGAATACACTGTTTCTCATACTCACAACTGTAGACCTTTTGCCCACCCCTGTGTGTGTATATATATAAAAAATCTTTAGATATGTGATATAGAACCAACCCCCTGTGCTAGAAAAGGGGTTGAAGAACAGATATCCATCCGTTTTTGGATATTTACAGATAGATATTTTTTATCTGTAAGTATCCAAGTTACTCTCTAAGGGCCAAAGCAGAAGTCATAACATTAGAAAAACACTGAATATTTTGATGGAGGAGGAGTCACAGAAAACTCACCAGCTTAAAACAACCCTAACGAAGTGAAAGGAATGTTAAATAGTTCACTTAAAGTTTTGAGGAGGCATAGGGGCAGGATTCTGAAGACATTTCCAGGAAGAGATGATAAACTGAAACCATTTGCTCACTATTGCAATCACTTAAGGTGTACAAAAAGTGATTTAACATTATATCAGGATACGCGTAGCTCAGTCTCTAGTATAGATGAATAGTAGTATGCCAAGGTTTGGAGAATTTTAGGGAGAGATTTAAAATTGAGGTATGTTTACTGAGAATTGGGAAATCACTAAAAGTTTTAATAAACTTTATCATCGTCATGCCTCCTTGAATAATATCAGCCTTTATGATAAAACGAAGTGATGTTTTTTCCAGCAACTTTCAGTCATTTTTGAGCGCAAATTCAAGAAATATCCAGACAGAACCACATCTGTCCACATTAAAAAGCACATAAAGAAAATAAAGAAAAATCTTTAAAAATAAAAAAAATAAAAAGCATACTTCCTAAATAACTGCTTTAGATTCAATAATTTATTCTTTCCCTTCCCTCTTCCAGCCTGCAGTAGAACTGGAAGTTATAAAATGGTCCAGAGTTGTCTCTTTGGTGCAAGCTCCTTGGCGCTCCAGGGCGTTCTCAAGTGGCATCCAGGTCAATGTTACTAACGCCAGCGAGGCAGCTCTTTGGATAAACAAAGATAAATGTAAGGATCCAAGAGTCCACTTTAATCGACTTTTTATCTCTTCTCTCTACAGGTCATGCTGTTAAATTGAGAAACCCTCTTAGGGAACAATGAGAAGTTTCAGGTTCACTTTCTGCAGCCTCAGTTTACAGATGGGAAAAATAAGCGCAGGTGTCCCTTTCACAGAGGTAAAGGCTGCCTGTCTCCCCTTGTGTGGGGATGGTCAGAAAGGATTTCTGCTTTCTCTCACTGATGCCCAGGTTTGTTAGCCCAGCCCTCCCCGGCCCTCCCAGTCACGAGACAGGAGTAGCTTCAGTACCATCTTTGCTGCTTGGCCTGCTCTCCTTCTTACTGGCACTCAATCAACCAAAAGATCCAGTTAAGAGTAAAATCCAATGTTTCAGAAGTTGTGAATTCTACTGGCCATTAGTGTTAATGGTTATCCTGCACTTTTACACCAAACGTTTTCATCTGAAAGTGTTGGGGGCTCTTTTAATATCTTTCTGTATGTCTTTTAAAACTTTTACCTACATTTTTATAGAACAATACATTAAAAAATGAGCCAAAAGCACCCTGAACTAAAAGAGAAATGAAATCCAGGCATTTTCTTCCTGGTGAGATGGTGCAAGCTGAAATGCATAACTAGGAGGGTGTTTGTTTTTTTAATTGCTAAAAGTAGATTAGCAATGACAGCTATAAACTGATGAGTGACAGCTGTATTCTGTTTCTCTTCTCTTTTGGGGTAGAAAGCTGGTTTCAATCCAAAAAAACAAGTTCTTAGGTAGTAATTAAAAAGTCACCAAGGAGAAGAGCCCCAGTCTGCTCGGAGGCAAACAGATCTCCAGCGACAACCTTAAATGGAGCACAAGAGCAATTAAGTAAACTCTAGTCAAGTCTTATAAAGGCCATTATAACCAAAACCTCTTAATAGAAAGAATCCCAGCGCCTCAGGCACTAGCTCACTCACTAGCTGCACATTAGATAATGCCAGACTGTAAAGCTATAAAAAGCAGTTTGGAGAATCCCTAGGGGGTCCCTATAATGGGATGTGACCTGTAATTGAGGCTAAAAATATAGAAAGGCTTACTCAGATGTCTGAAACTCCAGCTACAACAGAGAACGAAGTATCCTGTAAAGAGCATTGTGACGCCACCAACTCCACTCTTCAGGGTGCTGCTGCACTTGATCCAGCCTGTTTCAAAAGAAATAGTGTTGCCGTGAACTGTGACTGAGGTTTACCTTCAAGTTATCCCAGTTAGCTTGGGTGATGGAACTGTAATTCAAAGAATTTATATACTAGCATGTACATGTTGAAACAGATGAAAAGGCTAAAGTCTAGAAGACCTTCATTTGAAGAAATTTAAATTAGTTACTCTTGTTTTGGGGAGTTTGGCAAAAACCATTAGTGCAGAGGAGACTAACATGATTGATTGGTTAACCTAAAGTTCAGCATCTTCCAGGCTTTGGGATGATCACTATGGGCAGAGGACAGATGGGTGTGGGTGGCAGAAAGGGAGGTAGGTATTAACAACCTAAAGTTGCTCAATAAATGGCAGCTGCTATTTTATTAACTTTGGTGCTTCCAATGATGTCAGTCTCCAGAATGAAACCAAACAGAAGAGCAGGAAGACCATGCATTTCTCTCTTTTCTTTAGCTGTGCTCTAACAAGTCATGACTAGAGCAGGGGGAAGTTCTCCCAATGCCTGGAACCTGCAACAGAACCCAACGAGCAATGCTTCAGGCCTCACCTTTCTGCACAGCTCCCAAGGGCCTCACCAGAGAGACGCTGGAGGTGGTAAGCCTGGTCAGGGGTTCCCCACTCCACAGAGCAGTCCAACTTCTTTCCAACAAAGGAACTGTGGTTCCAAACAGAAGTCACAGTGATAGTTCATCTGAATTCATCCTCTTCCCCAACACTCAGTACCTCAGGTTCCCAGGGCTAGGCCTCAGGAGAAGCATATTCTCAAGAGGTGCGCTGGGCTGCAGCTGCTAGTCAAAGCAGTCCGCTTGCAGGTCCAAAGAGGACTCTTCGAAAGGCTGAGGGAGCCCTAGGGAGCATGACCTGGATAGACTTTTGATCTGATGAATATTCTGCCCAGATGATCTGTGTGTATGAGCTTAATGAAATGCTCTTATTTTTTTATCATCTGCTAAAACATCTTAGTAAGAAGCATGACTTCCTATGATTATATTAACTATAGCTGCTGGTCACTGTATCTATAATCAACGGGTCTGTTCCAGTATCCCATCACTACTGCTGACCAGCAAGCATTTTTTATTTATGTTCAATACGCAGCCAACTAGAGCCAGAAAGGAGGGTTTATGCTACATATTTATGTTTTTCCTGTACCTGTTTTTCTCTATATTTAATGACAGGTGGGGAATCTCTTCTACTGCTGGTTCTCTGGTCTTAGTCTGGCTCATCAGGATAAAGGATAAATTAAGCAAATATTTACGACAGATGCAGCGGGTGTGGTAAAAGTTGCTGTGGATGTAAAAATACTATCCAAATGATCGTCACTATATTAAGTAGCAATGAAAAGAACCATGCTGGCCTCCAAGAAATTACACAGAAGATAATTCTCTTGTAAGGTGAAGACTAGGCTCTTAAAAAAACTAAGCATGATTTAACCCATTCATCTTGGAAAACATTCGAAGATGGGGTGAAGAAACTTCATGAAAATCACAACTGTACAACTTTCTCAAGAGCGTCAGGAACTGGTGCGTCTTTGACTCTGTTCTTTCTCCAACCAGCTAATCAGCCTACTCCCTTCCTTACAGGTTGTCAAATTTACGTGCATGACATTAGTTCAGGCCCTCTGCTGGGTCACAGGAGCCCAGGACAGATCAGCTCAGAACCCATAGTTAGGAGTATCTCCAATGTCTTCTTGCTGCCTAGCTACTCTGGGTTCTGATTTTCATCCCTTCGGGCCTGCTAGCACCCACCGCCATGCCTCTGCCACCTCATCTCCCAGACACTGTCTTTTCCCTGCCGGTGTCCATGTCCTAACATTTAAACCCAGCACATATGGTTAACCCCCCCACCAGTGACGCTGGCCCCACTCTCTAATACAACAGCCGAAAACTCTCAGCCACCTCTAGACCTCTAACATTTCCTATCATTGCTCTGGAATCCTAGACCCATGATCTGACTTGTCCCTCAAGTCTCTGGCTGTTGGTTACTCACATGCTCCTTTATCTAAAACACCCCCTAGCATGAACTTCAGTAGGGGACCTAATCCTGGCCTGTCATATTCCTGCTTACGTCTGATCCTGACTATCCTGAGCCCTTCCCCATGTGCTCTGTCTCAAATATCTCACATGGATACCCTAGTGATAGAACGACTATCTGAAGATTACAAAAGAGCCTTTATTTAGCTGTTTCCTTGTCTTTAAAAAAACCATGACCCTCTCTGGTTTTCTCACTTTACCTTCTGGTCTCCCCATCAGCCAAGTTTTGCTTTTGGTAGTTATATGAACTATGCTTTCCCCCACCACGCTCCCTCTTCCCTCAGCATTTGTCTGAGACCATTCCCGTGCTGGGCCTGAGGCACCTGCTCTTGTGCCATCTCCCACGTCAGCAGTTCTCTGACTTGGCTGCTCTTCAACACTTACGAAATGCCTGAATTCTAGACCTTAACTTCAGAGTCAGTCTCTGGGGATGATGCCTAGGAATCTTTAAGCACCCTGAATGGAAGAGCCGTTTTTTGACCTGCAAATGCTTGGCCAAGTGCTCCCAGCTGAACATTCTCCAGGCTGCGGGGACTCTGAAAGCTTCCCTCTGAACAGAAACCAGCTCCTATTGCTGAGGACTCAGACAGTTGTACTTGTTGAGTCTCTTGAGATTTAAATCTTGAACTTACAAAATCTACTTTCTTCAAGGCCAGAAAAACTACTAATTTTTGTAGTAAGTCCATGAAAAATCCTTCCTGAGCCTCAAAAGATGACTCCTGATGCTGCTGAACTCCCTCAGTCAAATTCTCATTCTGGCTTACTAAAACTCTGCGGCACCCTCAGAACTACCAGTCTGTGTTGGGATCTCCTAGTCTAGGCACCTAAACACATCCATTTTCCATTAGTCATGAGAGCTTTTGGTTCCACCTTGTTTCATCAAAACGACAAGATAGCCTTTTACACTTCTCAAGACCCTGGGTACCTTTCCATCTGGTGGAATCACTTTACATTGTTTACTCAGGTATCCTGCGTGTCAGGACTAGCTGCTGTTACAGGCCTCCCTATGCAGGAAAGCGTATCTGACATCATCTTGAAGCCCAGGATCCAAAAGAAGAAACACTGCCTGGAAAAGCTTGGCAAATGCCATAGGGCAATGTAAGATGCCAACCATTAGTTACTACTTGATGTCAGGCAAGTTCTTGATCTTCTCTGAAACTCAGTTTCCTTATCTATAAAAGGGCTTAAGGACCAGCATTCCAGGGTTAGTAAATATGCAGGCCTAACAGCTGACATATAGTTAACTCAGTCATTGTTAGCTCATTGGCCCTGCCTGTATCAATGAAATGAGTTGGCTTCCTGAGAGAAAGAAGGCTGAATGGTCTACCAAAGGTCTTGCCTGAGCAAGGGAGTACAGTTCTTGCTCTTTGCAAAGATTCCATGGAAATTCGATTTTAATTTGCAGTCACCGGAGGTAGCCATTGCCTGGTGAAATGACAGAGCTGAGTAGCTGCACTGCCTTTTAGTCCTTGGCCAAGTGAGCAATCAGGTCTTGACCTGAGATCCCAGGGTCTCAATCAGTGACAGCATCCGAGTCTGAACATTAATCATGGAACTAAAAGCTATAGTTTTTCAGTCTATAACAGAACTAGAGGCCCTGGGATGGCCACATACTGTCTGATAGAAATCAAACTAATCAACATAACAGTTCCTAACTGCTATTGTGGAGGAACTTACTGTTGAAGGAAAGATTGTTAGTTCTCCACCATAGTCAATCTCACAAGCCTAGTGATTTGGTGACATGTTACTGTCTTACCTTATTATTGCTATATTCTTGGGACCCATTAAAGTGAGTATGTCAACTAATAACTTACATCAACCATGACATTGACCACTAAGTGCCCCAAAGAGTAGCCTGAGGCAGTTTAAAGACCATGGGTGTACAAGTCAGGTGGACCTGGATTTGAGTCCTGATTGCCACTTACTGTATGGACACCAGCAAGTCATTTAATTTCTGAGGTTCAGATTCCTCACCTGTGAAAAAGGGCGGGTCAGTGACCACCCTTATTATGAGGGATAAGTGACATAATAATGTAATGTACAAAACACAGTGAAACAGTCATCACTTAACAAATGCCAGTTCCCTCCCCTTTTCTTCTAAAATGAAAAGTAGATGTATCAAGAACACTCCTTAGCGCCATAAGATAGTACAGGAAATAAAGAAGTCCTCCTATGTGCTAGAAAGATTTGCTATGGGCTGTGTGATTATACAACTGAAAATCAGAGAAAGTGTTTCTATTGATGGCATGTTTTCTACTACATGGTTTAAGGGAAAGGATTAAACTAGGCCTCAGGAGACCGGGTTCTGTCTACTTGCAACTCTAGCATTCATTGGCAGCCTGACCACAGACCACTTATCCTCTCTGTGCCTTTTTCATCATCTGCAAAACAGATAAAATCACTCTGCCCACCTTTCAGGAGTGGGGAGGTCAACACAGGAAAATAGGCAGAAGCACTCTGAGACTTGCAGAGCAACACAAATGTTAACATCCTTTCTATGCTTAATATGGGGAAGGGGCTTGAGACTACAACTTTGTAAAGAGTCTAGATGTTTGTAGAAAAACCAGTAACTGCTGAGGCAGTTGAAGAAAATGGAGCTTTGGCTAACGCTCTTTACCTAATACACTTCCATTGTGAAATCTTTAGAAAGGGATAATTAAAATACAAAAGAAAATGTTTTGAGACCAAATTGGTGTTTGGTGAATATATGATCATTTATAGAATATACCAGATGGAAAAACATGTCCTTTTAGGAAGAGATAATACAAGTTTTTCAGGTGCAAACCTATTCTGAGTTGCTATAGGTCTTCTGTCAAAATAAACCTAAAGGACCAAACAACTCACCAAAAAGAAAAAGAAAAAGAGTATGCTATTTACCTATGCTATTTAACATTTAACTATGCCCCATAAAAAAAAGAGGGAAAGAAGCCAAGGCTTACTGACGAGGAAAATAAACTTTATGCACTGTAATACAGACGTGGTCCAATACCTAAAGATGACAATCAAGAAAAAACAAGGACACCTGAAATGACTGTCAGGAACTTCTCGGTTCCTACTTGGGCCAAAGTCCTCCTGACTAGTTCAGCTATTCTAGGCATCAGCAAGGAGTATATAGAAAGCTTCTGAAGATACTCACAATCCAGATCAGTTTCAATGTACTGTCGATGTCCCCCCCTCCTAATTGCTTGTCTCAAGGCTTAACCTCTGGTTCCACTCTTGGGTCCTATTCTCTGTGGACTAATTTTCCGAGTGCACAGACTTCCACACCTTTCTTGTCATACCCTGGTCCTCGTCTCCTAAACCTCCACTTCCACTTATATACCTGAATTGGCGCGCCTCCCTGGACAGTTTTAATTCCATCCCGCCCCCAAATCCAAATATAGTGTCTGCTTGTACCTTCTTTGCTGCTCTAAATTCCCAGATGTTGCATTTGACCATAAACTTGGAAGCTATTTTGTGTAAAACCTGGTCCTGATTGAAATCTGAACACAGTGCTTGTTCTACTTAGGTGGACTCTGAAGTCTTTATGCTTTTTTTGAGTCTGTTCGGCTTGAATACCCACCCAATTTCTTCTACTGGCCATCCCTCTTTCCAGTATAGCAATTCAACTGTTAGCAACACCACCAGCCAGCCTGGCCTAGTCCAACCTGCAACTATTGAAGGGGAAGAGTGATAAACCACTGTTACCCTTGGAGCATGAAGCAATGTTTTCAGAACTGTAAGTCTGGTGCACTTAAATGCCCTGGTAGAAAAAAAAAAAGCTATATGAGTGAAAATATTAGTATTCTGAGTCTTATTAATTCAAAAGGCACAGAGTAGTTTGTATGAGGTGATGGCTCCTTGAAAATGAGCATGTTTACCTTGTGATAGTCTTTCTCCCTGGGGACTGATGAGCTGAGGCTTCTGGGCCACTGAATTCCAATACTGAGGCTTCCCTGGCAACACCCCTAGTCCAAGATAACCAGCATAGAGCTCTGGAAACCACTCTAGCCCCAAGGAACTAGGAAGGGTTTTCCTGTCCACATCCATCTGCCTGGTGACGAGGCTTTTAGAAGTATAACGCTGGGTTGAAGGGAGAAACTGCTGGCACTCAGGGCATGAGGCTTGGAGCGCAAGGCCAGATTTAGTCACCACGGACACTGGCTCCTCACACTCCATCAGTGCCTTTACATCAGGGACTTGATTATGATTAAAGGCTTCTGCTTTCTCCTCTTGAAGAAATTTTATGGCCAGAGAGGCAAGACTTTGATTACGTGACTGTGACACAGGAAGAAACTCACTGCAAGTTGTCTCCCTTGCTTTGAACAGATTTAAATTGGGACCCTCATCTCGAGATTTCTTCTCTGTAGCTGACTCATCTGTACCGAAGTTGTTCTTAGAGTCACTGCTCATGGAAGAGCATTCCTGCGTTTCTGCCGCAGATACACTTTTCTCTGCATGTCTTTGGCTCTCACATGCCTCTACTCCAAGGTGAAGTCCTTTTCCTGGGTTCTCCTTGACTTGGATTTTACCCAATGGGCTAACTTTAAAACCTAAAATTTGTGACTTCATATTCTTTTCTTCACTCTCCAAGTCTCTAACATCAGAATAGACTTCTGAGAGGTGGTCCCTGGCCTTGGGACCTCTCTCATCGCCTGAACATGACGTTCTTACTCTTTTATCTCCATCACTGAGATTCATGGGAGAACTATGATAATCTCCAACAGGCATAGCTAGTAACTTTACTAGAAGCTTCTGCCTTGAGGGATCAATTTTGTCCAAGTTCAGATCAGTAGAAGTCGTTTGTACATCATGAGGTAAGGCTGAAGTATAGTTTCTATCTTGATTTGACAAAGAAGTTTCCATTGGGCCAAAAGGTAAAGATGTTTTAGTTTCTGAAGGATTACTTCTACTTTCCTGTGATTTAGGCAAATCTTTGGCAAGTTCTCTTTTAGGAATAGTGGTCCTTGATGCATACAACTGAGCCTTCGTTTCTTCCTTGAACAAATCCTTTGGTTCAGGGTTTTTTAACATTTTGAGTGAGAATTGAATTTGATTCTTGATGTCTTTACATGCCTTTCTATTACTTGTTCTTTCCAGACCAATAGCTGGTAGTGGAAAGGACTTAACCGTCTGTTCTGGTTTGCCCCTTATCAACTTAGTGTTTCTTTTCTCACGCTTTGTCCCCAACTCTTTCCCGTTAACTTTAATTAAGTCTTTTACTGGACTTTTTATTTTTTTAGCAGGTGGGAGTGTAGCCTGCTTGGACTGACAAACATTTTGATCCGCAGGTGTAACTGGCTGTATCATCTTACAATATGGCAAGTGAGATTTTAATCGTTTAAATGGCTTCTTACAATAAGGACATACTTCCATTCTGGGTGGAATACCACTTTCATATTCCTGAAAAAGGTAAATATGAGATTATGAGGAGCACATAATTTGTAGAGTAAATACCAGTATTTTATTTGTTTCATACCTTTTAAATTCATTTGGAAACCCCCAGGTTAAAGGTAATTTTTTAGAAGTTTTTTAATCTGTTCTTTTTCTTACAGAGATAGAACACAGAAAACATATTTTGATTTTTAGATAAGTACCCCTGCCTCCACTCATACTTGGTGTTTTACCTGAGGAAGTCTCCCAGGAATCAATTACAAAAGACAATCAAATCCACACCCCTAAGAGGTAAGGAAGACCAGTGGAAGGAAAAGATGTCCAAATACCAATTGGAATAAAAGGTTTGCTATTTAACATTGTAGCAAGTCAACTGGGTATCATGTAAGTGTAAACAAACTGTTAAAAACCCTTAAACACATTATTCAAAACAAAACAAAGGACAGGATTTGAAGGTGGGTGATTATAGTAAGGGTTTCTAAAGTGATATATATGGAAGATTCACTGGGTGCAAGAAGAAAATACTAGAACTTCCATTATCTAAGCATGAGAAGTGAAGCTCTATTTAACATATTAGTAAGTTGCAAAAGGCAAGGACATATCTATTCTGTGCACAGCTGTATTCTCAAAATCAAGTACTGAGCCTGGCATGTGATACTCGCTTAATGGGTTCTTTCTCTGCACATTAATAGGCAAATGTTATTATAAAGTGCTACAAGTATGAATATCTTCTGACCACTAAATAGGTTAAAAAGTGAGACTCTAAAATCATTTACAAAATAATAGATATAATCTTGGCCATACCATTTATGAAAACAACCAACCCACCTTATTCTACATGAAATCAGGCAAAACAAACTGTCCTCTGTCAATAAACTTACAGCCATTATTGTTACCTTGGAGGTAACCCCTTTGACAATATAATTAAAGTTATAGGCCATTTATTTACAAAAACGCAAATGAGGCCAGTCGCTGGGCCTCACGCTAATAACTTTTTGAGACCTCTGTTCGACTCTCTGCCTCTCCAGTACTCCACCTTCACACTTAATCTTACTAGAAAAATCTCTTTACCCTTACATAGTAACGTCTTATTGTGGGTGCCTAACTGCTTACCTAACCTTCTCTATAAGGATGCTAATTTTGCGGTTTTTTTCTCCTGGATCTCCAAGCTTCCCGATCGCCGTTTCTGAGTTTGACAGAACGAAACTAGATTTTAATGTCAGCCTGTACAAGACACAATCAGAGAAGTCGACAGTACTGAACCAAATAGAAATAACTGAGTTATCAGCAGGGCAATTCCCTTTTGGTGTTCCGGAAAGCAGGGAGTTAAGACTTTACCAGCCTCCCGGGCACAGGGCCGATCTCAAAGTTTCGCTAATCGTCGCCCTCACCGCCTGCGCTCTCCAGGGAACCTTTCCTCCGCCAGCCGCCTTATCTCGCCAGCCCTCCTCCCTGCTCCCTTATTTTCAAAAAGCTGTCTCGCAGCTTACGGCGAAGAAAGCAGGGACCGCCAGGCAACTCCGCGGTCCGAGGCGCTGGAGCCGCCGGAACACCAATGGGGGCTCACTTTGCGACTCCGGGAAGCACCCCCATCTGGTTGGCCACCAGGTCGACTCCCCTCTCGGCTCAGGACAGTCACTCTCAGACCTACGGCCGCGGTCGTAGAAGAAAAGGCCCCGCTCGTCGTGACTCCCCTAAATCAGAATCCTCACCTAGCAAAACATTAAAGTCCAGGAAACCCCCGTGACAAGACCCCCAAAGCATTTCATGCGCAGCTGCTCAACTCCCGGTCCTGGGACCCGCGACAAGCCGTCTTACATGGCTGCCTGAGGCTTGTCAGCTATTTTAAAAATATTTTTACCTCACAGAGACTTAACTCAAGTACTTATATAGTATTATTATGACATGATTTAATTTCATTTAAATCTGCCTTGACTTTTATGCTGTTCCGTCTAAACTGTGAGCAGGCGAAAACTCCCGACACCTCCAAGAGGTCCTTTTTCTCCCAGAGGTTCCCAGTAGCTCCTCCCCCTCCAAGCCCGCCTTTTCCTGTGGGCGGGGTTACCGATCGGCGCGGCCGCGATCGTGTCTCTGCGCAGCCGCGAGAGGGCGGTACCACGGCGGCTGCGACATGGGGGGGCGCGGAGCAGACGCCGGAAGTAGCAGTGGTACGGGTCCCACAGAGGGGTACTCACCACCGGCACAGTCCACCCGAGCCGCGGCGAGAGCCAAGGCCCGAGGGGGTGGGCGTGGCGGCCGCCGAAACACAACACCCTCTGTTCCCTTTTCTCGCAGTGCGGCTCCGAGTCGCTCCCCTCCACCGGCTGCCATGAGCGAGCGCCTTCGCCCCAGGTGAGACCATAGGGACCCCCCCTTCCTTTCCAACCCCTCGCCTGTGTCTTGGAGGATAGAGTCGACGGGGGCGCACAAAGCAGGATCCGATCAAGCGTGGGCTCTGCGGGTCATTATCCGGGTGCTCTACTCCGGGGGAGGAGGGGAGCCAGCGTGAGAGTGCTCTGGTACCTGATCCCTGAGGGTACTGGTGGAGTGTCTCCAGGGTCCAGGTCTCCCTCAACCCCATTTTTCCCTACCCCCCATCTTCCTCTCTTTGAAATGAAGTCTGGTTGTTCCTGGAAGAGAGACGGTGGCCCTAAAGCGTCCCTGTCCTAAATTTAGGAGGGGGATGGGAAGAATGTTTAATCTTCGAGTAGGAGCCCCTAGGACATCTGTGAAGGGACGGGGAGCTGCCGGCTCCCCAAGGTCAGAAAAAAGGATTGGACTTAACCCTGCAGCTGGGAGGGATTAGGTTAAACTGAAGAATTTGTGCCCTGAATGGTTGTGAACACGGAAGGGCAGATGACCAAAGTGGCTGGTGGAGTTTCTGGCCTTAGTATTAGAACAGAGTGGATTCTAAACTGGAGGCGGAGCCGTTTGCCTCCGAAGGTGGGAGGGAGAGAGGATTATATCGCGATACGGTACTTTCCCACGGTGTCTGGCCTGAGACCTGGATTATGGGTTTTAGGCTTGCTTGACAAGTGTTGAGCAGAGTCCGGACCAGCCTGCGATTCTTTCCTCTTAGTTACCCCTGTTACAATGTGGAGAGGAGAAAGTTGGGATTGGTATCCCAGGATGAAGAGGATCAGCTTTATTTCAAATTAGGAAAATCCTTCATCGTGGAGTTTGAAGTGAAAAACCTTTAGATCACCAAGTTCGACTCTGAAGTTTTTCTGATGAGAAAACAAATTTAGAGAGCTCAGATGATATTCCTGTGTCTTTCCAGGTTCACTGCTCTTTCCTTTATTCCATAATAGACTCAGTGATTCTTAAGTAAATAAAATAGAATTGCCATGACATATGGTGTATATTTTCTTGTTCTATGTTTTCATTGGCCCTGAATGTAATTGACAGACTTTTGATGAGGACCCTGCTCTGGAGGATAGTTAATTCATGGAATTAAAATTCTGGAAAGTTTCCTGGGGTTATTTGGTTCAATAGTAAAAAGCTATGGTTCCTTAAATTTATGCATAGGAATATTTTGGGTCATGTAATGAGTGAGGCATAAAGCCTCTTTATATAGAAAATAAGAGTGGACTAAATTTGACATTAGGGCCCAATTGCCGCTGACATGTCAGAATTAGTAACAGAGTCCTTAAGTATAGTAAGCCTGATCTTACTGACATTTTTTCCCCTTCTCAACCCCAGTTTGTAGTGTTCTGATAGTCTCTTGGGATGTGTCACATATCTGAAAAAGTTAAAATATTTCCTACGAAAAGATTCCTTTCATCCAACACTGTACACAAATACTATGAATGTGTTTTCTACTTTTTTTTTAAGATTTTATTTTTATTTTTAGAGGGGAAGGGAGGGAGAAAGAGGGAAAAAAACATCAGTGTGTGGTTGCCTCTCACACACTTACTTGGGGACCTGGCCTGCAACCCAGGCATGTGCCCTGACTGGGAATCCAACCAGCAACGCTTTGCTTCGCAGGCTGGCACTCAGTCCACTGAGCCATACCAGCCAGGGCTGAATGTGTTTATGTTGGTAAGAGATTCCTTTTCTCTAAACACACAAATAATGTCAACATGATTATACTGATAACTTACTGCTGTAAAAGAAGTCGTTTGATTTGGATGGGGGTTTCTTACCTATTTTTCTCTTCGCCCCATGTTTCATGATGCACAACGGGCCAGCTCTGCCAGCTCGTTATCTTGGTATCTCCAAGTTAGTTCACTTCTCTGGTTCTCTTTCCATAATTTTAAGATGAAGAGTTGGTCACAGATGGTGGTTTTTCAAACTGTGTCACAGATTACTGAGATCGCCATAGAGGAGTGGGTGTGTAGAAAGGAAGCCCTTTCTTTAACCAAAACAGATCCTTTATCTTATATCCTCAGGGATATTTGGGAGTGGGGTCGGGAGAAAGGGTTCTGTTACTTGTTAATAATTTTTTGAAAACCACTAGCCTCTATTTTTCAGGGTTTCTTCTATGCTCAGTCTCTAGGAGGTAACAGAAAGAGTGGAGAGAAATGAAATGATAAAGTGATATAATTGGCCATCCTTAGAAGTAGCAGATGCTAAATAATAATCTGCAACTAGATGGTTAGGGAGAATATAATCAATTATAGGATGACTGCTAAAATTACAACCTGGTCTATGGCATTAATGTTGAAAGCTATAATCTGACTGATTATGTGGATAGGCTTGAGCATGAAGCTGTAATCTTGCCAATTATTGACAATATTGTTGAAAGTGGAATGTTTGCGGGACAGAATCTGCTAAGGGCCTGGAAAAAGGCTAACTGAAGAATGAGTAGAGCTCACTCTTAATCCAATTCCATCCAAAAGAGATAATTCTGGTACTTTGATAAATCAGCTAATTATGAGGCTGGGATTGTTCATGTGACTTTCCTAGAGTTTAGTTAAAATCTGCAAAACTAGCCCATCCTCTGTTTTTACACTCTATTTGCCTCACAGTCTTCTTCACATTCATATTGTTGTCACTGGAAAGACAAGAATAAGTAAATGAGGAAATTGGAAAGTTTTGGTCAGGCTTCTAAGTTTGGTAAGAGTGAGTCAGCAGCCCAAAGCACAATCAGCTGTTGTCACACTGATAAAAGAAGAGTTTGGGGACCAACACGGGGGCCATTTCCCTGTGTTTCTCTTTGGACATCAACTGGTCTTCTGTTAGATATTGCTCTGTAACTTCTTCATAGTCCCATGAACATTCTGTGGTCATAGTAGGATGAAAGCTATTTCTCGGTTCTAATCTATGATAATAACATGTACTTAATAATTATTAAAGCCTGGTGTTCATCTAGTTTTTAGCTTCCAAGTATTTCAAGATAATGTGTAAATATGATCTAATCTCCTGGGAGAAAGTTAGGAAGCAGAAATGATGATCTTGTTTTCCAAAATGCTGAGCCTTAGAATGACATAAACAGTGTAGCCCTCTGCTGGTTGGTTGGTTCGTGTTTTATCAGAACCACACACCAACTAGTTATCATTCCAAGCCTAAACTGGATCCAGAGTCATTATATATAACATTAGATGTACTCAGAATGTTGCCCAGTACAGGGAATTGAGCTCGGGGTGATAAAGTTTCTTCAATATCCAGACCTTATCTCAAAACTTTAGGATTAACGGCCTGCCCCAGTAAGCCACCCTACTCACATAGAAGGTATGTAGCTAGAGAGAAGATACTATATCCTGAAATTCAGTACTTTCCAAAAAGCTGTTTTTCCCTCTAGCTCTAAAAATTTGAAGCTTTGTTTTCATTGTAGTAGATGATGTTGCTTTGTATAAATTGGCCTCTCGTCAGCACTGTCCTGTAGCATTTTCTGCAGTGATGGGAACCTCCTGTATCTGTGCTGTTCAGTACAGTTGCCACTAGCTGAAATGTGGCTAGTATATCTAAGGGACTGGATTTTTTATTTTATTTAAATTTAAATAACCACATGTGCTACTGGCTACCCTATTGGACAGCACAGTTCCAGGCAATTTGACTTAAAATGATACCTCTTATAATTTATTTCAGTTTTCTAATTGGGATTTAGAAGTTCTTATGGCAACACTTGACTCTTGCATAGAGAACATACACATTTTTGTCTCTCTGGCACATCTGAGAACACTTGACTGAGAAAGGTGTCTGGTTTTTCTTTAAAAAAATTTTTTTTATTTATTTTTATAGAGAAGGGAAGGGAGGGACAAAGTGGAAGAGAAACTTTGATGTGTGAGAGATACACTGATCAGTTGCCTCTTGCATGCCCCTAACCCAGGCATATGCTTTGACAGGGAATCGAACTGGTGACCTTTAGGTTCGCAGGCTGCCACTCAATCCGCTAAGCCATACCAGCCAGGGCTGACTTTTCTTTAAACCTATACATTTTAAGCAGCTTGTGCTACAGTCTCAAAGAAACAGTCTAGGGGAATAATTTATATTGTAAACTTAGGTGCTATGCATAGCCAGAATAATCAAGTTTGTGTCCATGAGCAGCTTTTCCAGTGCTTTTGTTTAACATGATAATTGAAAGAAAATCGGGGACGAAGAAAAATGAAAGATGAGTAGCTACCACAAACCGCTATGGATATTAGAGGTTTGGTGTAGCACCAAAATTTTTATATGGATTTTAAGGGTAAAATAGGCAAAGGCAGCCATTCCTGTCTTAAGTGTTGTCATGTAGAAGGGAGTAAAATTAAGCAACTTGGAATTGTAATTTCAGGACATGTAGAAAGACGATAAACTTACTTAGGTGGAGTTTGAAAGCTCAGTCATTATCTTTCAGCTCTGATTTATTTGTAGTAGGCATTTAAAATTATCAAGCTTCATTTTTGAAGTTAGCCACATTAATTTAAGCTTGATCTTACTGCTACTGTTTTATATTTTGCTCTTTGTGCCTAATGATAGTGTACTTCCAGTTTTAACCTATTGGGCTATCACCTGATGAATTAAATTTTCTCAGGTGAGGGTGCAAATTTCTGTGTTGTCATCGTTTACAATTTTAAGTGTCTGAAAGATGAACTGTTGAATTTTTTTTTTCCTCCTGTGATTTAATTTCAGGAAAAGGAGAAGGAATGGCAATGAGGAAGACCACCACATTCCCCCTCAGACCAAAAGGAGTAGTAGAAACCCTGTCTTCCATGATTCCTGGGACACAGAGGTAGGAAGTGTGGTCAGAGTCTCTGCTGTTTTCACTGCTGGAGCTAAATAACCCAGTTCCTTCGTGTAATTAAAATTATTCTTTGGATAAATAAAAGCGATCTATGTGACTGCAGTGGTTTCAACCTTTTCTTGAGCCATGACTCCTCTGAGGAAGCTATGCACCTTCTCCCCAGCGAAATGGTCCCTGCCCACACTAGTCATACATACCACCTCCCCAAAATTTGTTTTTGTTAGAAGTTTCACGAACTTTTGCAAGCCCTTCTTTGAACTCCCTAATTGATATTTCAGAAACCAACATTTTTAATAGTTTATAGACCAGTAGTGTCTTTAAGGCGAGCATATTTTGTTGCTTCAATTCACATATCTTTAAGAGAAACTATAGATGCTCACAACATACACTGTATATGTACACAGAATCCTGTTTTTCATTGTTTTTACTTTTTCATTATGTTGTTCAGAAAAGAGCTGCTGCAGGAGGCAGAGTAGCAGGGAGAGAGAAAGTGGAGGGGGAGAAAGAGCTCTCAAAGTTTTGGCTTTCTAAGAGTGTGTCATACGCACAATGGGGAGAAATTCTCTGTGCACTCAGTGTGTACTCGAAAGGCTGAGCCACAGTGCAGAAAGGAAGCTCACATTAAAGTGATGGTACTATTATATTAGGTGCCTTAACAGGGAAACTCCTCAGTGGCAAAGATTCCTAAGCGCTAACCTCATAACTTCAAGCAGAATTCTGTATATCAGAATTCTTGCGTAACCAGTTAATTTGTAATTTAATTAGTTCTTGATAATAGGGCTTGACCTATATCTCGTCTCTGCCAGAAATCTAAAGTAACTTCCCCCCAGGGCGGGGGATCAGTAACTCCCATGTGGGGAAGGCTTACTGAGGAACACTTAATGAAAAGTGCAAATAGATCCTTTTATGTGGAGACTTGAGTTTCTATAGATTTTATCCCTCTTTTAAAAATCTTCCTATCACACCTTTTCTTCCTTTAAAGTGATCATTAAAAAAAATGATTAACAGAAAAGTTTTTGAGCTTTGTTCAATGTGATAATTGGGGAATCTCACAGATGAAAGAAAACCAAAGATTAGAGGCTACTGTGAACATTCAATGATAAAAAGTGTAATATAATTGAGTCTCATTATTCTTTTGAATTATAAGGCTATTCTTTAGAAGAGTGTGCAGTGAGTGACTACTTTGAATATTTCTTTACTTGTATCTGTATGTAAATTTTGCTCTGTGATATTCACATTGCTTCAAAGATATAGTAGTAGTAGGTCTAACTTTGTGTATTAGTCTTTTTTCCTTATATGCACAGTTTTCTTTTTTCCTTTTTTTTTTTTTTTTTTTAAGATTTTATGTACTTATTTTAAAGGGGGGGGGGGAGAGAAAGAGGGAGAGAAACATCAGTTGGCCCCTCTCACACGCCCCCAACTAGGGGTCTGGCTGGCAACCCACGCAGGTGCCCTGACTGGATGCCCAGCCCACTGAGCCACACCAGGCAGGGCCTATATGTATAGTTTTGATGCCTGGGAACAGGAATATAAATCGTCATGTTTAAAATAGTAAACACTTCTGACCTCTTGTTTTTAGTGAAACTCCATAGTATTAGTTCTTATTTTAATTGCTGTTTGTAGAAAATGACCTTCACTCTTTCCAGAACCTGTGTGTTGCTATCATGGAAGAAAACAAGGGTGTTGCTACTCAACTTGTAGGTTCATGTGTCTTGTCCTTACTTGTCCAAAGAAGTTCAGTGGTTGAACCGCTCTGTAAATCTTTAGTCTGGGGAAGGACTAGATTGTGTTTGTTATCATTTACTGTCAGTACAGGAACTTTTTATCTGTCATGGTAATCTGGACTCACCCGGAGCCCTCGCAGGCAGCTTTGCCTTCCGACCCTTACCGGCCACCTGAGCAAATGGCCTTTGGTGCATTGCTTCCCCGGTGGCCGCGTTAACAAGTAATGAGACCCAGTGAACCCAGGCCGAGCTGGAGAGGCAAAAGGCAGGGGAAAGTCTTTAAAATGGAAAGTTAAGGCCTAAATAATTGAATTGTCACCACTGGACTAGATCACTATGCTCACAACACACAAATAGCAAGGTTAGAGGCATTTGGCTGCTTTTTGACAATTGTGTATATAAGGGAAAATACTAAAGTGATTTATTTTAAATGGATTATTAATTTTATTTGTGTAACAAGTTATTGTCTTACTGAAAATGTTACCTTTTAATTCTAAGGTAGGCAGAGGCAAGTTTCCATAAGACTAACTCATTAAGAGAAGCTTTCCTTTGTCCTTCCTGAAATACTTAAATCATTTCTTGTAACTTGAAGAACTTTCATTTGGAAGGAACTTGTTTTAATTCTTAGATTTAAATTTCCTAAAAGTTATGTTTTTCTCCTAAATGTAATAATATTGGCAAGTACTGGGAAGTAAGATACGAGGTGTTTGATTTCTGTTAAACTATTAAATATGCCACAGGTATATCATAATTACCTGAAAAAATGGAGATAGTACATGCCTCTTTTTCCCAAGATACTGTGAAGCTACAGAACATGGACTGACTTGCCAGATGAGTTATGCAGAAACTTTCACTCTGTGCATTTTCTTCTGTCATTTTAATAGATATCATCATTTCTACTTTCAGATAGGCAAAACTGGGGCACAGAAAAATAAAGTCACTTGTCCAAAGATACACATCTAGTAAGAGGCAGGGTCAGTGAGTCCGAGAACTTGAGTGTGGAGCAGCTTGCTCCACACCATGGCGTGTGCCATCCCCAGAAGATGGGGCGGAGTTTCTGAGATGCTGTGCTAACTCTAACGAGGGGCAGCAAGGTCCTCAGCTGCTCTGGAACCATAGAAACACAGAGCAGCAGCTGGAAAGTGGTTTTCCAAGTCAGTGCTATAATAGAGAATTAGCCAGAAAGTCATTTTTGATTTCTGTCTAGAAAAAGTGAAGACTTTGGGGTCTAGTGTTTCCCCCTCACCCCCCAAAAATATAATTGGTGTTTGAATTCAAGACCTTTAATTGTAACTCCAGTGTCTTAGATTTAATGACTTGTGAGCCTTAGGATGATATTGTTTAAATTCAGATATAAATGACTAGTATAGGAATAAAATTTTATTGGTCAAGCCATTCTGTACGAATCATGTTAGTTAATGTCTAAGTCTGGCTTGTTTTTCTCTTGGTGAACGAGAAGCGAAATAATTTGTCAATTTGTGCCTTCCTGTTGGGTCCTGTACAATGGTAGTGACATTTCCTGGTCTTGGATAATTATTTGGGTGGGTAAAAAGTAGCTTGATTTAATTTATAAATTTGTTCTTTTAGGGGCTACCTTTTTGTTTTGAATTCTGTCTTGTAGGAGTAATACTCTTTGCCTTCAGTTTTAATATCTTTATCTACAAAATACACTAGATGTTTCCATGTAAATCCAGTTTCTGGTACGTGGGTGTATGTCTTATAAAACGTGCTGCTGCCTGAGTAGATAAAAGCTGTACCTTTTTACAAGACTCCAATATTTTTATTTTTATTTTTTTTAAGACTTTACTTACTTATTTTTAGACAGAGGGGAAGGGAGGGAGAAAAGAGAGGGAGAGAAACATCAATATGTGGTTGCCTCTTGTGCACTCCCTACTGGGGACCTGGCCCACAACCCAGGCATGTGCCCTGACTAGGAATTGAACCCTCAACCCTTTGGTTCGCAGGTCAGCATTCAATCCCCTGAGCCACACCAGCCAGGGCCAATTTTTTTATACTTTAACTTACCAAGATGGTTTTGATTTTTCAGATCACAGTAAAGTAACTAGTAGAGGGTGAGAAAAAGTAGAGATAAAACAGAAATGGCACACCTGGAAGAGCCTCTGCCTTTTTCTTGCCCGCCTAGAAAGGGAACATTTTTGATGTCATAATCCTAAAATCCCAAGAGTATTCTTATGAGAATGTAGAGGTGTGACAAATTAAAAAATAACAGAACCAAGGGAATCCATGTATTGTGAAAATTAGGATTATATAAACCCATTCATTCTAAGAATTAGATTGGGCTGAATGATAGGTGATTTTTTTTTTTTAATAGTGTGAATTTAGATGACAATGGAATATTTAGCATTATTTTTCAAAGGTATCTTAAGGCTCTTAGTTTTTGCCCATTCTCATCTTTAATCTGTTATAGGGTAGTAGGCATATCTCCCAAGAAGTGTTTTGGGTAAAACTGTCAGGGTTTTGTGTTGAAAACCCTGAAGCAAATTAACTCTGAAATTAATGTCTGAAAAGGTCCATTCAAAATGGAGGAGCTGTCCTTTCAAAAGTTAGTCTGATTTGTACTGTACATTTGAAGAAATTTTGCTCAGAGTTTTAAATTCTTGAAATGTTTGTATACATCACATCAACTCCCAGTATCAAAAGCTGCTGCAAGCAGTTTCACATTGAAACTGAAGGTTAAGTCTGTTAAGTAATGGGGGTCCATACGTGCACATGTTTTTGTACAGGACAGATTCTTTTTTGGCCTATTGAAATTTAAACAACATGAAGTGATGGAGCATAAAATATTTTAGTTATGAAGGAACTTAAAACACTGTATGGTCCAACTTTATAAGTATTGACACAGAAAGTGACCACCTGCGTTTTCTATCCTTATATCTTTACAAAGCAGTCTATATATCCCACTGAATTCATTTGGAATCTTACTGTCTCTCTGGCATAAGCAGACCTGGAGCACTCTTACATTATTGGGCACTTGGGAAGCACAGGATTTTACATTAGATGTTCCGGTCGACTAGGCTAGGATCATCTTTTGCACTTAATCCAGAGTCCGCAGCAGCCTTAGAATGAACTTCATTATGACTCCAGGGATACAGTGTATTGAGTGAGTGAGATTTCTTTTTTCTTTTGAGGCTCACCTAAATTAAAAGCACTAATGAATGGGAAGATGTAGATGAGGGTAACTTGAGGCTTGAAAGAAAATAACATGTGCTAATGATCTGCTTTTCTAATTAAGGAGAGAAAGCAATACAGCTTTAGGTAATAAATATACACATATGTTCTGATGTCCTGGTTCTGTTTTTATGAAGCAGAGAGACAGTAAATAGCATTCCTGCTGGGGGGCTTTCTAAAGCTTATTAGCAGAAGTAGTCTTCAGAGTTGATTGGTTTCTACCATGGGTGTTGATGAGTAATCTCTTACACTGACTTCACGGCCTGGGAACAGGAAGTTAAAGGTAGGCCTGGCTGAGGGACCAGGAGCTCTTTCCCTGTGGTGTATAGTGTGAGCCCTCTGGACTAAGACAATGAACTTCCTCAACTTCCCTGTCCTCTGCATCACGATTTGTACGTCTTCTATATGTAGGAATAATGCGTTCTGCCAATGAGAAGGAAGTGTCCCTCTGCCTTTCTTCACCTGCTCAACCTTCTGGCGAGGGTCCTGAAAGCCGCTGCCAGTATTGGGCCCTTCTCTGCATCTCTTCCGTCTTCTGAGCCACTGCTTCTTTCACTAGCACTTCCAGGTTCTTTCCCTTCCCAGCTCATCTCTGCCTTATTTCCCCTCAGCTCACTGCTGCTTCCTCTTCCCTGCTCACTGCCAGCCTCTTCGTTCTCTGTAGTGGCTGCCGGTGCTTCCTGTCAGCCTCCCACCTTTCCCCTCTTATGTCCTGGCTTCCTCCTGATACTGCAGAACTTTCTCAAAGCTCACTGACACTCTTTGCATTCATCATATGTGTACCGAGCTCCCAGTACACTTGATCCTTAAACAACATGGGTTTGAACTGTGTGGGTCCATTTATATGCGCATTTTTTAAAGTAAATACACACAAGTACTGTAACTGTATTTTCTCTTCCTTATGATTTTCTTAACATCTTTAGCTTTATTATATGAATACAGAATATATATCATACAAAATACTTGTTAATTGACTGTTGATATTATCAGTAAGGCTTCCAGTCAACAGTGGGCTATTAGTAGTCTAGTTTTGGGGGAGTCAGAAGTTATGTGTGGATTTTTGATGGCACAGAGGATTGGCGCCCCTAACCAATGCCCCATGTAGTTCAAGGGCCAACTGTATTTGGCAAGTGTTGTCTCAGGTGTTTGGTGTCAGCTTGGATGTCTCTTTCTGAATCCCTTCCATCTCCTTCTGGGGTGTGAGACACACCCCTTCATTGACATTGCCACAGTCTTCATGCTGGTCTACTCTGCTGCCTGGTATTTGAGAAAACGTCCCTGTTGGCCTCTGCTTGGTCTCCCAAACCTCATTCATCTCAATAGATCCCTGGCATCGTGACTCCCAAGTACAGATCTGAACGTGTCCTACAAACTTGGAAATGGTTCCTGCAGGCTTTGGGCACCTACCATGCCATGGCCTCACACGTACACGTATATTGTCTCACTGATGCTCCTGGAGTGGGCGCAGCCGCACCACACCGTTAGCTTTGCCTCCCCAGAACACTCCTGATTTTGCTTATTGTTCTCCCAGTTTGTCCCACCCTCCTTATAAAAATTCTTCCTCGTCCTCTAGGCTCATTTCACACAGCATCCATTTTAAGGAGCCTCTCAGCTTCTTCTGTCCACACTGCTTGCTAGGTTCCTGTCACTTGGCCGTGTGTACTGTCCTTATTGGTGGCTGTATTGCCACCATACTCTTGATGAAGCTCGGTAAATGAATGACTCGGGAGCCTTAGTGCAGCACCTTTCAGTACACAGCTGGCACACACGTTTGTTTGGACAGTGGCTGGAGATCAGAATGATCTGTGCCTCCTAGAGCCAGGTTTTCCTGAGGTGGGGCCCTGGCATGGACACTGCTGAAAAGGCCTGCAGGGGATTCTAAAGCAGACCGCGTTCTTCTGGGCCTCATCCAGGCATCTGCAGTGACCAGGGCACACAGGGGGATTTTATTACTGCCTAAGCTAACTTAGAATCCTCCCTTTTCACACAGATCTTCGGCATGGGATTCTCATGAGTTACCTTTGGATATTTAAAAAGAGAGGCTCAGTCAGAATCTTCATAAATTTAACCCTACTGTGTTTGTTTACCTGGATTTGCAAGGAGTTTTCATTTCCCAGATCATAACCTCATTGTCTTTTGATTTAATACAAAGATGTCATTGAGAACACCCTAGTCAGTGTCTTCACTCAGCCCAAATTGAAAGTTCAGAGAAAAGAAATGCCCTTTCTAACTGTGGATTTGGGTAACCTGTCTGATGAGAAGTCTCTAAGGAATCAGGAGCCTGGGGATGGGGTTCCTATCGGATGAATTATGCTCAGTGCTAGAGTTTCTGGACTCTTTCAATAAAAGAACTTGTGTAGGTCTCTTAAGAACAGAAACAGTAACAAGGTAAACACTCTGTATCAATTTTCAAAACCTTGCTTTCAAGTAGTTCCCCCTCCTACCCCAAGGGTTTGATACTTAAAAGGTTCACTCAGAATGTGAAACAGGACTGTATTTTTTCCTGTTTCACCTTTTTGATTTTATAAGACAAAATGATTTACTTCTGTGTGTATCTTAAAGCACTGAGAGTTAAAATTTCGATTTTGTGCCTTTAGGGTTAAAAGTAAATAACGAGTTTTCCTTTATTCCATAAAGTGGACCGACCACTTTGGTGGCTGACAGTGGTAATAAGGCTGGTTACAATAACTTTCAAACATTTTTGACTCTGTCCTGTAGAAGTGTTTTATGTTGTGACCCAGTACATACCAAATATATTTGTGAATAATTGAAAAAAAATTTGCACAGAACAATCACCATGTTGCACTGTTTTTTTATATGCTGCTTAACTCCCCACCAGATGGGTTTCACCCTTCCCTTGAAGCACTCTGGTCTTTGTGAGGTTACTCCCGGAAGTCTCCCTGATAGGGAGAAAACTGGAACTGGCAGGAAACAGAGCCGAAGTATCTCTTGAAAGAGATGTGTTATTTTTACCTTTGATGACGGTAGTATATATCTAATGCTTCCGGATTCCCAGCCCTCTTCTAGATAGGCTGTCTTTTATTAGTTTGAAAGTATCATTGGCCTCCTCAATGCAAGTGAATACAACTGAAGCAGTTTTCGAGGTTCTTAAGTAGTTCAAGGAGGCCAGACAGTCTCACTCATAATCAGTTTTTTTTTCATCAGAAGAAATCTTTTTTTTAGAAGCTACAGAAAATAAGGACATTAAAAAAATAGGTCCAAATTCCAAATATTTTGGCACATATATTCTTCCAGATTATTTTTGGTGTATGTATATGTCTGCGTTAAAGAAAAACATTTTAAAACCAGCTGATATACATACTGTTTTGTAACCTGTAAAAAAGATGTTAAAGACATCTTTCTTGGGGGGGTGTGTATGCATCATCAATAGTCAAATAGAAATTCATTGTTATGAATTATAATTCATGTATTACTCCTTATATATGTATATTATAATTTAATGAATTTCCCTATTATTAGACATTTTGGTTGTTTGCAGTTTCTAGCTGTTACAAACAAGGCCACACTAAACATTTTTATATATGTCTTTATAAGGTTACAAGATATTTAAAATGGACTAGAAATTGCTAGTATATTTCTGTCCCCTTCCCCCTCTTTTATGATTATTGTACAGCGCTCTTTTCTAACCTGTTTATTTTAAAGAACTTTTCCCTTTTCTAAGAATAGTGTCACCTTTGCTCTTATATTGTGAAATAAATATAATTTGAGATGGAAACTTGACTTATAGAAACTGATTCTAGTTCTTGCCTTAATTTTCAGACAGTACCTGTAATGAAAAACAAAGAAAACAGACTAAGAGGAAACAAAGTTTTCTGCGCGGTGGGTTTCTTATCTGGTGTAGTAACCTGCTTGTTAAATATTCACGACCTCACCAGGTGTACCAGCGGCAGTTCTAGGCTGTCGTATACTCTAGGTCAAGAGAGACTTTTAATCAGTTTTTGGTTTTGAATTGGCTTTGACTTCTTAAGTCTGTAAGTAAATGTAGTTGTTGCCGCTAACCCTGCCATCTTATGACACTCAGCCCATTTATAATGCTTTCATGGAATTTTTTTTTTATTGGTAGGAAGATAGATTGTTGCCTACTACCTATAGGCAATAGGATATGTGACCTATGTTAATTAGTTCCAAATAACCCATGGACTGCAACAATTCTTGGTCTAAGTCTTTATTAATAATGGATGCCTTTTGTGAACATCCTTTCTTTGCCATTTTAGGCATTTATGTACAGACAGTAGGTTCACAGTTGTTATTACACAAAACACATGGTTTATTCATGTATTATTATTAATTATTGTATTATTTTCCATATGAACAACTGTAAACCTCCTTTTGCCCCACCCAGCATTTTTAAGTAGTAAAAATCAAATTAGGCCTCAAACTAGTGTCCCTGTACAAATTACAATATAATGTCTCTAAGCTTATTTCATTGTAAAAGAATTTATGTGATTCCCATATACCTATGTGGCTTATAATATATGCATTGTTAGGTGTAATTTTTGGTATTTTTAAAATTACTTTTAAAGTATCTATCTTGAAACATTTTATTTTGATAAGGCAAATACATAGTAACCACATTGCAAAAAAATTATAGTAAAGGGTAGAAAAATAAGCATCTATAACCCCTCCATTTTAACGTAACTACCATGGGCTGTTTCTTTCCAGTCTTTTTTCTTATGTGTAGATTTTACATTGTTGTAAGCAGACATTTCAAAATATCAATATCTTTGTCTAAGGGAATATAAACTTAGATGTATCAAAGGGCTAATGACTAAAAAATTTACACCAGATCATTAATTACTAGAATTCCAACTTTCTCTTGTATTGATTCCTTTGAGTACAGTATTGTATTGAGTTCTAAATAAAGAGTGATTGGGGTTGTGAATTATCAGAAGACAGAATTGTACAATACCATAATTCTGAAAGGATCCTTACCATTGCCTTTTCTTTTGAGACTCACTATTGGAAGAAAGGGCGATTTCTGAGTGATTCTTATTAGGGATTTCTGAGTAGCTTCTTCAAGATGACTAAGACACAAGACCTGTTAGTTGCATTAAAAAAATTAGATGGGTTCATGCATACATGCCCACACATATACGTATCAAACTGCAAAAAATGCTAATATAGTCCTGGCTGGTGTGGCTCAGTGGATTGAGCACCGGCTTGTGAACCAAAGAGTTGCTGGTTCGATTCCCAGTCAGGGCACATGCCTGGGTTGCGGGCCAGGTCCCTGGTAGGGTACATGTGAGAGGCAACCACACATTGATGTTTCTCTCCCTCTCTTTCTCCCTGCCTTCCCTCTAAAAAATAAATAAATAAAATCTTTTTTAAAAATGCTAATATAACTTTATAAGGAATATATTAAAGTCTTTTAGGATATGTGTTGTGCATTCAGAAAATACCATTTTTTGTCTATGGACAGATGACAAAATTGTCGTAGGTATTTTTTATTTTCACTTCTTCCCAGAAATCATCTTACTTCTTATGAGGACATCTTTTTTATATCCTGTACCAATGATTGATACTTTCCCTTAGAGGCTGAGAACTTCCTTTGATTTTTGGAATGAATGACAAAAGCAGGGAGAGGAGACACATAAAGGAAGTGAGACGTAGTTGAAGGGATTTGCCATAGCAGGCCTGTGCTTGAATATGGACCCTGTCGATTCTTAGGGATGTGTAATGTGTACAGGAATCCCAGCCGACCTTATTAACAAGGTAGTTGTGAGGGCAGAGTGAAATATCTTAGGTGAATGTACTTCATGAACTGTAAAGCCCAGTGTACATTTTGATGCTGGCACTCCTCACAATGGGCAGGAAGAATATTCTTAAATAGGGTACTGCAAATTAAACTACAGCAGAGTTCTTAGAAAGCAAAACAGCCGAGTCATGAAACCCTTCCTCTTTCTTTCCAGTCTTCAAGCAGTGACAGTGGCGGGAGCAGCAGCGGCAGCAGCAGCAGCAGCATCAACAGCCCGGACAGGGCCAGTGGGCCCGAGAGCAGCTTAAACCACATCGTCACCGGGTCCAGCCCCAACACCCCTCAGCCCGTGCCCGAGCAGCCCACACTGTGCCAAGGCCTGTACTTCCACATCAACCAGACCCTGAAGGAGGCCCACTTCCACAGCCTACAGCACCGAGGACGGCCTCCCACATGAGGGGCGGGCGGTTTCTTGCCTTCTGTGAAGGGACAGCGCTGTGCAGATTTGATATTTCATCTTACGATGTTTCAAAAAATTGCACAAAAAAATGCCTGTTAGCTTTTCAGTCTATATTTGAAATAACAGGTTAACAGGCAGTTGTTTACTTGTGGTTTTGCTGCACTATTGCAATTTTAAAGGGGCTTTGAAGCAATTTTTTATAGGATTCTTTTGAGGGTGGGTATCAAATCCATGTCAAGGTAATGGTATGAGGAAATCTCATCTGCGTGTTGAATCCATAGTTTGTCCAATTCAGACTGATTTCCAAATCTGTCAATTAGAAATTCATGTAAAAAGGCCTTTTAAAAATGCGGGATCTTCAATTTTTTAAACTGAATAAACTAGTGAGTATATAGTTTCCATGAAAAAACATAACATTTTTCCAAAATATAGAAAGCTTGATTCAGTCTTGCACTGAAATTGCCATACTACCTCTTAGTATGTAGATGTCCTGTTACTCTTTGTAACAGAACAGCGCGATCCAAGTGAGACTGTGTAAGTGAGCACCCTCCCTAATAACTGTCTTCTCTCTTTGTTATATATTTGTATTTCCAGAGAGAATGTCTTTCAGACTCTTATATACCCAGATCACCTCTGTCACCGTCATTGCTCCAGAGCCTACATCTCAGACTTGGTAGAGAACATTGCAGTTCCGACAGTCAAGAAATACGTAATGATTTTTTTGTCTTACAGACTTGTTTTATTGGCAGCTTATGTGATCTTGTTGATAATTCCACCTTGTAGTGTCGAGAATTAAGGTGGTGTTGAATGCTGACAAAATGTAAGCTATCAACTGATGTCTAAGGTTACAAGTGTCGTGAGACTATTGGCCGAGGATTCACTTTATACTTAAACTAACTCCCTAACAGTAACTAGGGGCCACATTCCACCATTGCAACTGGAGAGACTGGCATGGCTTAGAAACAGATGAGCAGAGGCACCTTTAGTAGAAATGACGCAGTAGTATTTATTTGAAGAGTGATGGATATGTTCCTGTGTTATTTAGTCATACTAGAGAGCCAACCAAGTTTGAACAATGAAGGTGTAGATGAGTCTTCTTCCTCACTGACAAGCTGTCTGAATAAGGAGCCAGGATGCGTCGGGTCATCTGCTCGGGAGAGTGCCGGGGGGACAACCTGCCATTGCATGGAGAGGAAAGTGCCTTAGAGTCCACCCAGATCCTCCTGCCTGCACACACCCTCTGCTCCACTCGGAGCGCACGCCGCACACAGCAGATCTGAGAAGCACGGAGAGCTCTAGTGCAGGGGTTTGCAAAGGACGTGGGGACAGCTAAAATTTGAAGATGAAAACTATTGTAGGAAAAGGGTAAATACAGACCTCCTTTCCATGATTTGTTTTTCTACAATGGACAGGTTAAAAAGGTCAGTTACTTGAAGCAGAAATTTAGAACTGTGGCAGAAAGGTTACTGCACAGCCCAATGCTTATGGAGTGGATGGTTTGTGCAAGAATTTTTTTTTTTTTTAAACTACCATCTCCCAAGTTTTAAAACCAGATGTTTGACAAGGATTTTGGATCTTAATGCGTCTGATGGCAGGGAATATGGAAAGGATTCATTGCTAATATTTTGTATAGCAATAAAGCAAATAACTAAATGCTGTTAAGAAGCCAGCATTTGAGCTCTCAAACACACATGTACACAACACAATGCAAATACCCAGGATCCTCCTGCGGGCTTAATGGATGGCAGCCTACTGAAACAAAATGTGTATTAACAAGAAAATATAAAACTTGAGAAAGCAAATTTCCTTTTATTTACCACCCAAGTAAAAGAAATGGAAGATGAAATTTCCAAATTAGCATGACAACAGTACTGGGTTCACAGTTTACCCTTTTTTCCTACAAAAACCAAGGAATAACCTCCATTGTGTCCTGCATATTTTCTACAGCCTTGGCAGCCTGAGATCCATATCTGTTATGAGGCTACTTGATAATGTAAATGGACATCTTTTAAACCTATCAGCTCAAGCTAGTAAAACCTTGTACTTCTATATTGCGCCGCCATTAAAAGCAGCATTAGTGCATTTTGTCATTCAGTTCTTGATATCGATTCTTTAAAGGGGAGCCAGCTGGGTGGTGGTTGGTGGGAGGTGGGACAGGATTAATAGGGATGGATCTCTTGGTTTCTGCACTAACCTGGGCTTTTGATTCGGTGCTTCTGTTGGTGGATTTGGCCTTTCGAGTGCTTGTCATACTCAGTGGAAGAAGTCCAAACCTCCAAGACAAGATGAAGGGATTTCAGTAGCATGAACAGGAAGCTGGGGGGCCTAGCAAAAGCCCCGCAGAATTATTACCTGATCTGACTTGATGCCAGTGGCAGTATGTTATGGGGCTCTTGGGAGTTGAATGTACCACTTCTGGGGGTGAACGGATTCTCTGTACCAGTAACCAGTCCAAATAGAACCTGACACACAAGAAAGAAGGTACAAAACATGCTGGGTTTTTACTGTCCGGTTAAAAATCGCTCCTGTTAGTAATCAACCGCTGCTTTCCATTTCTAACTGTACTTTTAGGAAATGTTCTTTTCAGTGTGTTAATGCTTCAAAATTACTATTACCACTGCACCAGTTAGAATCTCGGAGTCACGGGGCCCTTTTATTCTTCTAGTCCTTGGAAAAAACCTGAATAATCCTTATCTACAATGAAAGGGGTCAGGTCAGGGCTGCCTCAGCACGAGATTTTACCTAATCCTCTTTCAATCTTTAAAGCTAAACTCGGCTACTTGTGTCTTAGCCCCCTCCCAGCACCGCCCCCAGGAGCACTGGCGCTAGAGCCAGTTTATTTTTCTGACTTGGCTCACCGAAGTTCGCTGGACCAGGCGGCTCAGGTTGCTACTGAGGTGGGGTGTGAAAACATCCAGGTCGAATGGGTCAATGAGTGCTTCCAGATAGTCAGCCACTTTCTCAGTTCTGAAAAAAAGACTTAGGAGGATGATGATTCTTTGCATTCTTTAGGACAAAAACCCATCTTCTGGTATTTGAAAGCTACAGAAATCCTCGAACTGGATGTATGCTCCTTAATTGCTGGCTTAGTACCACTAGTCACTGATCATTGTGCTTAAGTAAATCTCAGAGTTTTAAGCTGACGTGATGTCTTCAGTTGAGTCCATTCTTTCCCCATGTTTTTAGGGAGGGTACTTGAGGCTCAAATTATACCCAACAGTTGGTAGGCTGACTCACAAGAAAGAGGAATGAGTCCACTTACTCACTTGACCATGGAATTTATCCAGCAGGTGGCCACTATTTATCTTGCTGGTAATATGAGCGCTTACTGTTTAAAACAAACATGACTGATGTGCACTAAGGCTGACTCTTAGGTGGCTCACCAGGAAAGGGGCTCTTTGCATTTGGGAGAGGGGGGATGAGGGGAGGTGGGTGAGGATACCTGGAGTCCTGTTTGCTGCGACCACTTTTCACCTCTTCACCCTTGGCTGCCAGAACAATGTTGAGATAACGCAGATCATAAAGCAGCTGCAGTGCTCGATTCTGGGTCATTGGAAATGCACCTTCTTTCTGCAAATGAATTCCCCGTCCCCACCCATTAAGGGAGATGGCTTTATAGGAGCATAATAAACAGCTTCGTGGTTTGGTTGAGTTATAGCTTGTTATTTCAGAAGCAGGAGCTTTTTATAGCCATATGGCCAACTGAATCTCAACAACACAACAGGTTAGAAGCTTGGTGTTAAAATGAAAAATCCCAACAGTAGGCAGGAGACCCCCAGTTCCTACAAAAAGGTTTCAGGTGCTGAAGATGGTCATTTTAAAGGAAAAAAGCTCCTTGCATGAAGGAGAGGAATTGTGAGGAAGCTCCGGAGAGAAGACTTACCTGAATTCTTTCCCAGGTTGGGAGGTGGTCCTGTCTTTAAAATGCTACTCATAAAATGGGAATATGAAGCAAGGGCAGAATGCTTCATAGCCTGGTGAGTTGGGTGGAGGGCTGGGAGACCAGGACTCCTTTAAATGAGGACCTCGTGTGCCACAGGCTGTGCTTTGTAATCCTTCCAACTTCCTCCCCGGCCCACAAACCCCAGTTCACGTGACCACATTTGATCCTGGTGGTAATGGTTTGCCCCAACCCTGCGTGTCGTAGCTGTCCAGGGTTGGGCAGGGGGTCTTAGTTACACTGAGGCTTCCTCCTCCTGTACTGAACTGCCTTTTTATGAAGACCTGTTTAACCCCTAAGAATGGGTGTAACTAAACTTGCAGAGTTGGAAGCCACCTACATAGACTGGAATCCTTGATGTCCACTGCCGAAACCTGAGAAAAAGCTAAGGTTTTATTTGTTTTTAATGGAGAAAACTTCAAACACCTACCTTCATCTGATTTTCTTCTGAGAGCTTCTCATAGGCAGCTACTACTTGAACCATACAGCTTTTCAGCATCTCCTGCAGCGTCACCTTGGGCAGGGCATGGCCTCCAACCCGATTAATTTCCTGGCACAAGCTGAACAGGAAGGACTGTACATACCAGGACGGCTAAAAGAACAAAAGAGTATCGAGTTGCCAACATGCACCAATTAAATGAGACGTGGTAAATATGGGTTTATTTATCCTGGCTTATACGCCAAGACCTTGACCTCTCCAATCAGCCCCTCTTACAGATCAGTTAACAGAAGGGTGACATTTGCTGTCATTGCCCTGGTGGCCTGGGGTTGACCTGGCTGGTGGCACTGTTTGATGTTGCTGTGTTCACTTTAGGGTAAATGGTTCTCTACTTAGCACAGGCCCCGTGCTGCAAAAGGAAAGAATCATTAACGACTCCTCCAACAGTCTATTTACTTAGCCCTACATCCACTTTACCCTCCCTGCCCAACCCCCCCGCCAGTAGAAAGTTATATCTTGCAGCTCTTCCTCAGAAGCTGTCAGTTAATGATTTTCTAAAATCTTTTTCCTTTCCCCAGAGCAGGTGGGGCATTGGTTTACCTGGATAGGGAGTCGGATCTTGGATGTGATGCTGCTGCCAGACTCTGCTTCCTCCTGAATTTCTAGTTCATCCCAGCTGGTAGCCGTGGCCAGGACTGAGCCAGCATCATCTAAAAGCAGTGCCTGGGTGAAGCCATGAGCCAAAACCTGGTAATAAAAGGCAAATACCCACAGAGGCCACTCAGATCCTGTTGAGTTTGTTTCTAACTATTATGGTAATCTTGAAACTAGCTTCGGTACTTTAGGGTCATATGTGGGATGGCAAGTGGCAAATGTCATGCTTCTTTTGGCAAATTACAGACATGGGCAGTAGGAATTTTGTTGCTAACTACTGTACAAATGTCAGCTCTTAGGACACGAGTAGAGAATATGGTATTTAGGTTGAAGAGCAGAAAATACAGACCCTTGTCCAGAAAGAGTCTTTATCATCAGATGGAAGGGAAAAAAATCCGGGGTTTCTGTCTGTAGAATCCCGGCTAGAAATGAATGGAAGAGTTTTGATGTTCACTCCACGTGGCAGAGAGAAGTGAAAGTAATTGAATGAAATAAGAATTGTTATTCCCTCATGTTAAAAGGTCTTTATCAAGGTCGGCAAGACTGGACTACGATAAAAGGGAGACAAAATGAGGATGACCCAGTGAGCACAGACAGAACACGTTCAACGTCACTCACTTTCACAACCGCTGAGCTCCAGACCCGGTAGCCCATCACGCTCTGCTGTAGGAGGAGTTCCTTAACCTCCTGCCACTGGGCCTGTGATGGTAGGACTTTCTGAGCTTTTCCCTTTCCCTGTTTTTTCAGAGCCCTAGAATCCCTTGCTGGTTTTTCGGAGCTCCCTGTTTTTCCCAAGATGCACTGCTTCAGGTGAGGACACAGTTCTCCCAGTGACTGGCAGAGTCTGGCCATGAAAAGGACCGCATGCAGCTTGACCCCGCTGAGCACATCCTCTTGGCCTTGCACAACTTTTTCGATGCTCTGCAGCTCTGCCCGGATGCAGTCCGTGATGTGCTTGATGCAGGCCACTGAGTGAGTCCGCAGCATCTCCTGCACAGTCTCAGCATCAGCATACCTGTCAAAAGCACAGTTCTTGGGCATGGGGGAGATGTCCTTGGACAGTGACGAGTCATCAGAGGGAAGGTAAGTAAGGAGATCATCCAATTTAACCTTCAATTTAGAATCTAGGGCAGCACAGAAGTTCTGGACACAAGGGCTGATAGCTTGAGCTTTCATGGAGAGCCCGCTGCCAGCAGACTGATCCCGGTTTGCCACATTGACCCAGGCAGCATCAGAAGGCAGGTCATTGGGACTCTCGGACCAGAGGAAGAGAGACATGTTATGCTCAAAGTGGATGTGCTTGTTTGAAGTGGACTTGCTGGTGCTGCTTTCAAGCTCCTGCAAAGCGGAAATGAGGAGTTCTCTGGAGCTAGTGGAGATGGAGTCAAAGCCCTCTTTTGTCAGCGTCTAAAAGAGAATGAATAAAGAGTTTTAACAGTTCCTTTCAGGAAGTCTCAAAACAAGAGCACCAAGTGGCGATCTATCCCAGCATTCAGAATGCTCTCCCTCTGGCTCCAATGACATGGTGTTTGCAGAAGACAAAGTCATCCTCGATGGATATGGACATGATCCTAACCACCTGACAGAGGCCTGGTCTCCTTTATGGCAGAGTTTGGCTCTCTGTTCGTATCCAGAAGAGACACCTCTCGGGGGTATGCTATGGGGCTCACTGGAGTAAGTTATCAAGCAAAGAATACACTTAGGAAGTGACAGGTATCAACCCAGACAAGATCACACTAGGATTGGCCATAAAACAGACAGATGGACCATGTGACTGCCCACATTACCTGTAATCTGTCAAGGAACAGTTGCTGCATCAAATCCTCCCAGAACAAGAGTGGCTTCTCCAGAAGCCGCCGGCATACCACATCCCAGCTGTGACTGGCGGACTCGTTGGTAAGTAATTCCCACACAGCATCCCGGATGCCTGCCAGGCCTTTCATGCTCTTCACAAACATAAGCAGGTTGGTGATCCCATTTTTAATGTCTTCATTGCACCTGCAACAAAATCATTTTCCTTGGCCCTCATTAAATTCGTGGTCCCACGCCTTTATTAAGGAAAAGAGCAGGCCTCCATTCGGAGACCTCTTATGTGGGTCCCAACGTATAAATATACTTCTCTCAGAGCAGTTAAAAACATGTATAAACACAGCATTTCTGGCTGGATCAGTGGGGAGAGCCTATAGTCACCAGGCCCACCTTTGCTTCCCTGAGGTATCTAGAAGGAAGCCAAGAGCCCCATAGAATGGTTTCAAAAACCAATGCACTAAGTAAGAGTCTAGCAGTGGTGGAACTCTTACATAAAGAGAACTGAAAATCCTCTACGTTGGATTTTGAAAGGCAAATTTCTTTTTGGTTCTCTCACAGCGGGAGCTAACCCGCCATGAAGGTAGTGACAGGCGGCTGAGTGAGTGGGAGCTGACGTGCCCTCGCGGGCGGTGTGCAGAGCACCGCCCCGGAGATCAGACTTGCTCCTCATTCGTCACTGGTCCTTGTATGGCCACTCGCAAGGCTGCCTGGGTGGTGCCTGCCAGCCTCGGGAAAGCTCTGGCTACTTACATGTGGATCCATTTCTGCAGTGTGTCTGTCAGGTACTCCTGGCTGATGGGATGTGCAAGGGTCCGGAGAGCCGGCTGGAACTCAACAATGGATGCTGGCAGGTGCTTGAACCAGCTGCAGAGCTTCATCTCTTCTTGTAGAACACCAGTGCCCTTTTCTAAAGAGAAGGCCAAGTGAGGGGGAAGCGGGGCCATCCTTTGAATAGCATATTAAAAAATGAACCAGACTGGAGTCCTGAAGAAGGGGGCAAAAGCAAGCACGGAACATGTCCAGGGCCTCCGGCATCAGGGAGCTGGCAGCTTCCCTCCAACTCTGGCCATCCTATTGTTTGAGAAGCCAGCAAGGAATGTGAGGAAAGGAATGGGGAAAAGGGAGAGAAAGGAGAACTGGGTGTGTGCAGTCCTTGACATTTGCAAAATAGGACTTAAATTGTCAAAAAACAGGTGATGTTTCTCTCTCCTCACCATCCTCCTATATCCCCTGAAGATCTAAGGGAAGACTCGACCACCCATCCTGCTTGGTGAGTGAGATGTCGTAGCTCTTCAGAGGTGACCTCTCCAGAAGGGCACAAGCCACTCATTGCATCCTGTGCAGAAGCACCCTCTGGAGTTTCAAACGGGTCCTTCTGGGGTCCCTTGCCCTTGTTTGCCAATGCCATGCATGACAAAATAGCCAATAATCACCTTTCATAGGAGGGAAAATATGCTAAATTTAAGTACCTAGAGGGAGACCAAGGCCTCAGGAAGTGGTACCCTAGTTCAAAGATGAAGGAGGCCGGGAATGAGACTCTGTAATACACAGCTCTGAAAACGACCACATGGCTGTCACCACATTCTACTTGTTTCTCTTCTATCTTTGGCTTCTCCTCTGTCTGACTTTTGAGTTCTAGAGTTTCCAGAGACACAGTCCTCTGTCGTCTTCTCTTCTTACAGATGATGTCACCTATCCCTGTGGCTTCAAACAACAGCCACATGCAGAGCACCACTGATGTGTGTCTCTGGCCAGATCCCTGGCTCTGTTGTGGACCCACAATTGCCTGCCCACTCACATTCCCATTCCAAGGTGTCAGTTGTCCCCAGTGCAGCATTTCCCAGAGTGAACTTGTCATCGGACATCTCCCTTCTACTGCTGTCCAGTCTATCCATCACCAAATTGTCTCCTAAACAGATGTCTGAGTTGTCCAATTAGCTCCATCTCTACTGCCCCCATCATCTGTCACCTGGGTCTCAATGACAGTCTCCTATGTAAGCTCTCAGCATCCACTCCAGCCCAGTGGGAATCCACTCCCACATAAAAGCCACATGCATTTAATTCCAACTGGGAGAAATCCTACCAAATAAAAGTACAAGATGCATGGGAATGTGTAATGGAAGGACCACCAAGGCTGGAAGGTCCTAGAAGGCTATCCATTGTCCTCTCGATAAAGTCGAAGCTCCCTAGCATGGTCCACACAGCTCTGTATTATCTGGTCACGTCTGATAGCCTGGCCACATCTCTTTTCATGCTGCTCTTCCTGTCATCACCCAGAACCCCTTAAACTCACCTGCTCTCTTTCAGTTCTTCAAATATACTAATATCCTCTGTGTCTCAGGACCTTTGCACATCCTCTTCCCTTTGTTTGGAACTCCCTTCTTTGCCTAACTAAATCTTACTGAACTATTAGGTTTCAGTTTAAATACAAATTCTCCAGTGAAAGTAACATTGGTGAGGTCCCTTCATTCAATGCTCCCAAGCCAACCTGTACTTCACTTTTAGAGTACTGACCAATATTGATGTTAAACAGGTATGTGCGTATTTGAGTTCAAGGTCTACCTCCACCACTAGACTGATCTCTATGAAGGTACAGTCCATATTTGTCCCATTCACTGCTGTATCCCCAGAGCCTAGCATAATAGCTGGCAGATGGTAGATGCTCAACAAAAATCAGTTGAAATGAACCACAAAATAAAAAAAGTTGGCTAGGAGCTTACCTGTAGGATGCTGGCCTGTGATGGTCTCGAGAGTTGAGAAGAGCAAGCCACATGGCAGGGATGGATCTGGCAGCAGACCTTCTGGTAAAGTGTAGAAAAGAGCATGCGCTTGGTTCAAAGTGGTGGCCAGCAACTCCACTATAGAGCAAATCTGAGCCTTGATGCCAGCACCTATGAGAAGAAACCATCCTTTTAAACAATTTATTTTAGTAAAGGTAAAAACAAAACTCTGGATGCTTCAGTCTTCCTCAGCTCATCCTTCTCCATTCCCATGTTTCTGGACCAAATTTTGGAAAGAAGTCACACCCACCATGGTGCGGCTGGTTGAGAAGTTTCTGAATAGCTGCCTTTCTGGCCAACAGGAAGTCTGTCAGGGCTTGACGAGGAGAACTCTCTTCTAAGAGCATTATAGAGCACAGGGCCTCAGCTACAGCTTGGTCTGACACGGCTTGGCATTTGAGTAGCATCTTGCTTTCATGCAGAATGGTTGACCTAGAAAGATGACAAAGGTCACCAGGGAATATTTTACATCTTGGGAGAAGAGCCGTGGTACAGCAGGAAAGAAGACATCCTCCAAAAAAAAAAAACAGTAGTGGTGAAGTATAGCCCTCACCAGAGATCTTTATGCTGGACCCAACTTACCGGAAGTGGCTGGCCGCTGCCACCTGCCGAATGAGTATGGGGAATCGGGAGAGGATGGGGCTATATCGGGAGCCAGAAGAATCCAGCTGGAGCAGGCTGTGCAGGTGGCAGCAGAGCAGGTACAGCTGTGTGGCATGGAGATACTGAGAGGCCTCCATTGCGCTCCAGATCTTCTCTGGAATTTCTAAGAGGAGTTTGATCTGGGCAGCCATGCTGTAGAACTTCTGCTGGGATGGCTGTGGCTACAGGCAAAGGCACACAAGTCAGAAGAACAAACATAAGTCAAGTCAGTGTTTGGCAAACTTGGGGAGAAAGATGGGGGCATTTTAGGGTTCAAAGCTTTTATCCAGCCTGATTCAGTGCCATTCAGCCAGGCATCGAAGCGTGGTGCCGTAGAATTGCTGGAGTCAGGAGTGCTGTATAATTCCACTGGTTTTTCCTACCTGTTGGTGCACCTTTGCTCAGTTCTGTGGAGAGGCAAACTTAATGCAGTCATCTCACAGTCTGGTTATCTCAGTGGTCCTGTGATGTCTCCATAGCATGGAGCCCTGTGGACCCCCTCAAGTGAGCTTTCTCCTTCCCTTTTCTGATGCTCAGCGTTCCCCCATTTTTTCCTGCATCTTCGAGTGCATTGTGGACGTCCTTGCTGGTTGTCCCTTTTCACCAGCCTTCCACCAAATTTTTACCTGGTTCAGTCCTCCACTCCTCTCAGTCCATCTGTCCTTTCACTTCAGGAGTCTCTTCGCTCAAGCATCACTGCTAAGCAGACCACTACCGCCAGATCTTTATTCTTAGTCCTCGCTGCTTCCCTGAATCCCGGCCCAGCCTTTTCTGCTGCTGCCTGGTAAGTTCCGCTACCATTCCATAATCAGTGTACTTAAAACTAAATTCACCTCCCTAACGAAAATCTTAGCTATCCCCTCCCTGTCTATCGTAGCATATACCGCTACTCTGCTGCTAAATTCCCAGGAATCTCCAGGCCTTCTGATGGGTTCTCTTGATACCTCTACTGTTTAAGTTTCTGTTACCACTTCCAAGATTCTAATGCAGGTCATCATCATCTCACTTCGATTCATCCAAAAACCTTTCTTTTGTTCTGTGCTCATTCACTACTCCCTTCAATCTATCCTTTTCCTTTGCTGTCAAATCTTTCTTCAAAGGCCACTTAAATACTATCTTTGCTTGGTACTAAAAGGCTCCTCAATGCTTAGTATCAGCTCAGCACAGTGGTCAAAGGGTTCCTGTCCTCCACTACTTTCTTCCAGGTCTTCATGTGTCGGGTAGAGAGGTGCTTTCATCTCCATGGGAAAATCTGGCAGTATGTGGAGACACTTTTTTTTAAAGATTTTATTTGTTTATTTTTAGACAGATGGGAAAGGGCGGAGAAAGAGAGGGAGAGAAACATCAATGCATGGTTGCCTCTCGCGTACCTGCTGCTGGGAACCTGGCCTGCAACCCAGGCACGTGCCCTGACTGGGCATCGAACCCGCGACCCTTTGTTTTGCAGGCTGGCACTCAATCCACTGAGGCACACCAGCCAGGGTAGTTTGTGGAGACATTTTTGATTATCACGATGAGGGGAAGGGGAGGGTACTGCCCGCATCTAGTGGATGGAGGCCAGGGATGCTTCTAAACATCCTGCAGCACACACGACAGCCACTACTGCAAAGAATGACCCAGCCCCAAATGTCAATGGCACCAAGGTTGAGAAACCCCGCTTTAATCAAATTGATTACCAGTTTTTAATTGTCTTCACGTATTTCCGACTCACATTCCAAGTCTCATCTGTCCTTAAGGCCCCTCTTTACTGAGAAGGACCCAAGTCTGAAGCGACTTCTTTCAGAATTCTTATGGTAAATGTGCACAAGTATTTTGGGAATGAACCACCATTATCCTAAAATGTTTTCTACTGCTATTGTAAATTACATTTTTCTTATCAACTTTCCATGTATTTAATTCCTCAACTAGATTGTAAGCTCTGTCAGAGCAGGAACTGGTGGCCTTCTGTTTCTTTGTGCCTTGAAGACAGGCACTCAGTTTTGTGGGTTTGTTATAAGTCAGATATAACAACTATAAAAAATAAATATATTTCTAAAGTCAGGCATAGTACAAATTAATTTACTAATAAACCTTGAAGTATGACTCAGTTATGGCAAAGCCTGGCCATGTAAGGGCGACATGTACTGCATGCACAGCTTTCAGAGGAATGAGGTTGCTCATTTGGAAAATTAGCAATTTCCAACCTTCTATGGTTCTATTGTGTGAGCCCAGCCTACTGACCTGAATTCCTCTAAAACCCAGGCTGTATTAAAAAGGTCCAAAATGGAGATAAATTGTACTTTTTCAATTTCTCCTTTCATGTGGCTGTAAGGTTCTTCCCCCAAGTTGTTAAGAACAAATTCCCTGTTTACCTTTCTTGCCCTCCGTGCCCTTTCACTTTGTCGTTGTCCCTAAGTCAACGCTCTTTAGAAACACAAAATGCTGTGGCGGAGTAAGAACGCTTGGGACAACCTGATTAAAATAACCTTAGTTCTAGAAAGTGAAAATGTTCTATTAAAACATGATGGCTTGACGCCGGTACGATCCCCCAGCAATGGGTGGAATAGTTATTTGGGATAGTGGACGTTATTCTTGGGAATGGGGTGGAGGTGGAGGAAAACGGGTGAGGAATGCACGACTGGGGGCCGTTGTCAACATAAAAGAGAAATCTGTTCCAAGAATAATGCCGGGAAATGTCACATAAGGAATGAGCTGAGCTGTCGGGCGAGGAAGACCCCTGGCGTTTTCCTCTAACGTCGGACGTGTGAGCCCAAGGAACCTACTAGGGAGGTGAGGGAATCAAGGCCCGGAAGTCAGGGAAGGATCCTGAAATAAGGGTCGAATGACTTGGTGGGATGGATCAGCAGCCAGGGGGAGGACTGCCGACCGTGTCCCCTTAGCAGAAGAGCCTTCAGGGCGGTAGCAGTCTCCTTTCAAATGCAGGTAAGGATGCGGCACGGACGGGAAGGACCCGCGGGAGTGGCAGGGTTGGGGGGCGGGGCTCCGGGGTTCGGGACTCACTTGCGGGTCCCGCGGCGGCCGGGTCACAGCCGAGCCCGTTTGGCGAAGACGGGCGCAGTACTGGTCGGTGGCCTGCACGGCGTCCACCAGCCCCTCGGCGCAGCGGCGCATCTGGCCGATGGTGTCGGCTGCCTCGATCAGGTCGCGGTACCGCTCGCCTACCATCTGCCGCAATTCCTCTTTCTTGTGCTCAATCTCGGCCCGAACCTGGCGCTCCAGACCTCGGATCTCCTCTGTTCCATGTGTCTCAAAAAGCGCCGCGGGGTCGCGCAGATCGAGCCGCTTCAGCGCGGGGGAGGTGGCCGCGGCTGCCATGGTGGCCCAGTCTGCCAGCTAACAGGTCACTTCCGTCTCGCAGCGCCGCTGCAGAGGTGCCATCTTGGTTAGGGGCGGAAGCAGTTCCGCCCCGCTGCTCGCCAGGCTGGTTCTCCGCGGGTGGTGAACAGCTGACCCCCGGGGCGGCATTTTTAAAAAGGGAGACCACGTGGTTAAGTTAGATCTCTAAGGCCAGCAGTCTGCGGGCCCACCCTCTCGGAGATCTGAAGCCCTTCCCTGCGCACGTGGAGCTTTTCCTCGTTGGAGTTAATTATCGTAACCCAGCACACGTCGGCTGATTGTTAAGACTCCTCAGGATGCTCGTGGCCCTTCCGAGGACAATCAGGACCCCAGACAGTGGTCTTCCCCTACTTCGAGCGGATGACACTCTCGATAGGTCTCCTTTCCTTCGGAGATCGGCAGCGCCGCTCCCCCCCCCCGCCCCCCGCCTCCTCCCCCGGTGTCCCGGGCCAGCCGCTGGTGCCGGACTACAGCTGGGATACAACTCGAACACGCGCTACCTGTGCTACCTGTGCTTCCTGTGCTACCTGCCAGCACGGGACACGCAGCCTTCTGTGGCGTCTTTGTTATTCGTTTTCTGTGCTCCTAAGCCGAATGCAATGCTACGAGAAGAGAAGTTTGAGACCGTTTTTGATCATTGGAAAGAGTAATTTCACATTTGTTCTGAATCGGGACGGAGTGCAGGGGCAGGCTGCCCTCCGTAAGGGGTGTGTGCGCGCTCGTTTCTCTTCATTTTCTCCGGTTGATTGGTACTGTGGGTTAGTTTTCTGGGGTTTTCGTTTTAACTTCAAACCAGTGGTTTGGCACTGAAGATGTTTCCCCTGATCCAGGCTTGCATTGGCACCAGTCCGGGGAGAAGAGAGGAAAGACCGCAATCCTGAGAAAACAACGCCTGAGTGGCGAGGGTGGTGATGATGGGGGTGACGTCTAACGCGGACCCAATAGTAAAATTTGGAGAGTGTGGCCAGTTTCTTCGAGATTTACAAGGCACTTTTTTTTTTTCAAACATTCATTGAAGTTTTCATACCCATACTAATGTGGAGAATGGTAAAACGTGCCCGCTCTCTAGGTATAATAACTCCTGTCAGTCTTATATATATTGCTGCCCACTTCCTTTCTCACCCACCACCTCCATTATTTTGGTTTCTGTTGTTTTCTTTTTAATTTTATTTATCTAGTTTTAGAGAGAGGAGAAGGGAGCAAGAAAGAGAGGGAGAGAAACGTGTGGTTGCCTCTCGCGTGCCCCTTAATGGGGACCCAGCCCACAACCCAGGCATGTGCCCTGACTGGGAATCGACCAGTGACCGTTTGCTTGCAGTCAGGTGCTCAGTCCACTGAGTCACAGGAGCCAGAGCAGACCTCCATTATTTTGATGCAAATCCCAGACATCAAAGAATTTCAGTTGGAAAACAAGCCATTTATAATCTAGTTTAGCTCATAAAAACCCTGCAATGTAAGGAATATTTTCATTTTACAAGTGAATTACCTGGGACCCTGAGAGGCAAGCGGATTTACTTAGTAATAGTACACTTTTCAAAGCATGTTCACAAAATGATCGGATCTACACTTCAGCCCTGCAAGATAGGTAGGAATAATTATTCTATGCATGACAAAAACCCAGAAAGCTTATTTATACCTGCCCAAGTCACATAGCTAATAAGTGACAGAATCAGCACTTGGGCCTAGAATTTTGAATTCCTGGTTCGTTCCTTTTCTACTTTGTCACACAACTTCCCACAAACAAAGAACACTCCCTGGTGGCTGGTCGGCAATTTGCTGTCACTAAAGTCTCATTCTATAGGGGCACTTGTCTATTTTTGGCTTCCCATTATCTGCAGAATCTCTTTTCCATCTGTGTATGACAAGAACTTTTCCCCTTAGAGATATTCTGTTATCGGCCAATCAGGCACAACCACCTAGGATTTTAAATGGGGAGCAAGGGATGTGAAGAAGCAGGGACAGTGGAGATTTCATTGGTGGCAGATGTACCACCTTTAACATCCACTCTCCGAGGCAGCAGGGTATTGAATACGGCTGTAGGCCCCAGCTGCCAGTGCTGGGGGCAGCTATTTGTGACCACAATGACATCCTCACCAGAACCGCCCGGCAACGTGCTTTGCCTGGATTCTTTCTGCATGGGTTTAGCTTCCTTTTGTTCTTGACTGTCCCCTGAGTCTGGTTCCCTAGCTTTCCCAGAGATTCTATGAGGTGTCCAATATCTTAATGACAAATTTCATTTCTTTGAAAAATCGGTTTTGGTTGCGTGCCCTAGGGACTTTAAACTGACCCATGCTCCCTGAGTTTCCAGATCTATGAGAGTTTGCCTGATGTCTCTCTAACAGCCAGAGGGAGAGGTGTTATCACATCAGTTAGGGTGCGGGAGCCTACGGTTTTGTTTAAGGGGGCTTGCACTTGTGTACACGCCTGCCATTACCGGTGTGTGGAGGAAAGGCAGGCTCGCCAGCTGATGACTGCACTGTGGGGCATGTTCTGAAGGCAGCGCTTTCCCTAACCTTCCTCTCTGCTTCCCCGGCCAAGTTCATCTGGCTGCCCTGTAGATGCCACTGTTGCTCTTCTGCCTGCAGAACCCAGGGCCTAATAGGCGGTTACCAAACCTCCTTGCCTGGGCACTGGAAGAGCTCTGGTGGCTGGAGGAAACGTGCACCTTTGACTCTTTACTCTTCTGTCTCCTTTCTAATTCTCCCTATACAGAGGGAGTAGCCCTTCCTCTTCTGTCTTTTGCTTTCTTGCCCTAGCAAAACCAGCACTAGGCAAAGAGCTCAGGTTCAGAAGCTGGTCTGGGTGCTGTGCGGGAGACAGAGGGGCAGAGATGAGAACTAAAGTCTCCTTTCCTCAGGGTGGCATGTGAGTAAACGGCCCCTCCTAGTTTTATAGCCCGTCACTTTGTTTTGGTTTAGGGGGGTGTGTGTGTGTGTGTGTGTGTAGTGTGGTGACTCTTGAAGTCAAGTTTTCTTATCATCTTAAATCTTTAAGGGTAGAATTTTAAACATCCAATATTTAAGTTCAAGAGATTATATTTAGATCATCCTGGGCCCCTGAAATCAAACCCAGGCATTCTGCCAATTATAATAGCTGTAATTTTGAGCACCATCTAGGCACTTTGCGTATATTATCTTTAATTCTCACAATGATCTTCATCATAGGTGGCCTGACACTCATTTGATCAGTAAAACAAGGCTCAGCAGGAACAAATAACCTGTCTGAGATAGTCGTCGGCCGAGCCTGTCTTCAGACCCATCAGTCTGACTCTAAAAATCCTTAATCTTTCTACCTTGTCATATCATTAGCTTCAAAGAAAATTTCAGATCAAGAGAGAGATGGGCTCAACAATTCTGAGCAGCATTCAGATGCTACCCAGACAGCTTCCTACCCTTTGCCTAAAGATGCATCTCTGCAACTGTACGGCAGTTTGGGGACTCAGGCTGGAGTGGCTTTCTGATCTGGGGGCAGATGTCACATGGAGTGGCCATGCCTGGTAGTCAAGTGTCTGCGCGTTGGAAGACTGTCTTTCAAAAGTAGGAACAGATTCTGACATTTTTTACCTTCTCTAGGCCCATGGGGACTCCTATCTCATTCCGAACATTGAGCAGGCAGGCTTCTCCTTACTTTTTAATAGAAATATAGAAACCAAGCCCGCGTTATGCCTAAAATAGAAGGGTTTTCACAGGTTTTTGCAGACGCCACATGTTCTCTTTCCTTTACGTGGTATGCAGTCCAGCATCTGGGAGGGGGCCCCCTATGCCTTGGTTGCTGAACTAAATGTTTCCATAAATATTTCCAAAGTGAGTGAATGGTGGCATGCACATAGCTGCTCAAAGGATGTACCAGAAAAGGCCAAAGGGCTTTGCTGCCAATTGCCTAGTAACTGAAATATCAATGCAGTAAGACAGTTCTCAGTCACATCGCATTCATTTCAATGCCTGGTTTGATGGAAGGCAGTGGCGGTTTTGGCCCATCACTGCTCAATCTGGAGAGTGAACAGCGAATCCTAGCCTGTGCCCTGAGGATGCTGGAGGGAGGGCTGGGTTCTCACAGAGTAAGAATGGAATGGGGACAGGGTGTACGAGAGAAGAGATAACACATGGAAAGGCAACACTAAAATAGGACATTGAACTCTGCTAAGCTAGAAGAAATGGAAAGGGAGAAAGCAAGAAGGAAGAAAAAAGAAAAAGAGAGGAATCGGACAGCAAATGACCAGAGAGGGAAGAAAAGAAAGGGAAATCTGGTAAAGGACAGGCTGTGTCCACAGAGGACTGTCAGGGGCTGGACAGAAAGCTGAATTCTACATTTCTGCCTCGTGGGATTCCCACGTTCAGTGTTTGCGCCTGGCCGAGATGCCAATGAAATAAAGAGAGCTAATGCAGGCGTCTGGACATCTTATCTTTATGGCGATGTTTATCAGCCTGTGCTACTGGAGGTGACATTTGTAGTAGAAGGGGTCGTTATTTGACGTAACTGTTTGCAGATACCTGAGCCTCTGTCCTCAACAAATAGCCAGGCAGGCATCAGAGCTGATGAAGGGGACCTGGATGTCTGGGCTCCACACCTTCTCAACACCTTGACAAAAAGGGGATGGTGAAGCTTACATTCTAAACTTCATGTCCTTGACTAGTGTGTAACTGAGTCCTTACTGTGCTAACTAGCTGGATGCTAGGGAGGATGCAAAAAATGTTTGATTAAAAGTCAATGGTTCTGTACCAAGTTCTCACTACTTTTCAAGTCTCCTCCGCTGCCTTTTCCCCTCCCCACCCTAGCTGATGAACCTTCCTTGTGTAAATGGAGAAAACAGAAGTAATCAGGCAGGAATGTCCTCATTTTGAATCTGCTGTATCTACCAACCTGCCTGAACATAGGCTCAAGCTCTCTACCTTCTCTCTCATTGCAAGAACACACTGTTCCTGGTCCTGTGACCTCTCCACTTGACCTCAGGATCTCGCCCTTCCCAGCTCTCAAAGACCTCCCTTCTTCCCTCTCCCACATCGTTTTCCCCCTCTTGGCTGGATCATTCCTATCATTAATATTTTCTAG